TGTCCCGAACGACAGCATCCGGGATACAAAAAGTTTATTGCTATTCATCGGCGGCTCTCCGAGACAGGCATGTTTAAAACCAACATGCATGATACTGGTGTTGCTCGAACCGTAAGAACGGTCGAATTTGAAGAAGGGGTCCTTCAGCGAGTTGCCGACGAACCATCAAGTAGCACACATTGCTGAGGATATGAATACGAGTAACGCTTCCGTCTGGCGGGTGCTACACGAGCAACAACTTTATCCTTTATCCTAGAGTTCAATTTTGTCAATGGCTTCTTCATCAAATCGCTGCACAACCAGATTTTTTACGCTATGTTTTATGGACCGATGAAGTCTCTTTCACAACTAGTGAAACACCCTGTATTTAGTGCAAAAAATAGCCACTTTTCTAGATTCCTGAACAGGCCACAATGAAGGTCATAATTCTTCAAAATCGACGTTTTTGTTAGACTTTTTAGCTAACACTAAACCACAAGAATACTTTTTGATATTAACTTTTAACATTGAATTAACAACTTATTTTCATATATTTCGTATCATCTTAGGGAAGCTGGCTGTATCAATCCACACAACTTATGACAAACCTGAAGATAGCCCAGCTGAAAGAACAAATAAGGAAGGAAAAGGAATCAACAGAAAGCAAGAAAGTGAAATCTGAATAAAATGGTACTTAAATATGACACTGTAGATATAGACTGCATCTCGTATCCTATATGCATTTCAAATGGTTGAATGATAATAGTTACCATATTAATAATAATTGTTAACTAAACATGATATGCCAGTAAATAGTATATATTCGAACAATTGCGGAAAAAAACTATTTTAGTATAAGTTCCATATCATAGTGTTAGGGGGTGGGCAGATACCTAAGTATTATTAATAGTAATATTATCAGAGATGCCTTATAGCAACTGCAAGTCTGCTTCTATCAAAATAGACACATTTTTAGTCAGTTACAGCATATGGTTTGGTAATTTTTGAAACTTACATAAATAACCACTTTGCATTTCAGTAATTGTCTAGCTGGCATTCCAAATATTAAGTATATGTTAAAATTAAAAATATCATCCTTACTTTTATTCTAATGTTTCAAGTAGTTTCTTGTAGCACTAAACAACGAGATGATGAGAAAAGATTTTTTTAACGATACATTTTGATTTGAAAATATGCATCAATCAATTTTTTACGTCACGTTTAGATGTTAATTCAAAATATAATCACCTTGGGTTCGCCTGAGGGTTGTGTAGTTTATCAGAAAGTTACAGAGAAATCATAAAGAAAATTTTATGTACAATTTTGTTTTACATTACATTATTACAAATCCGGAATTCGTTTTTTATATTACACTTGAAATTATATGTATTCTAAATCTCCAAAATTATTTTAACGTTCCTCGCATATTGGACAAGTTCAAAAAGCAGCTCATAATTTGTATGTGCCTAAACAAGTTCATATTGATGCATGGAAAGCAGTGAGTCTCCCAACTTGATTCCAGCTTTCATCAATGTTTAAGTTACAATTCCTACGTAAACAAAAAAAAATTAGGAACGTGTTATGGAATCATTACCTGACTTTCTTTCCTCAGTATACAAAACTTGCCCAGCAGCATACGTTTAGACATGTCAAGTTTAACCTTCCTTCACCTCTGTACCCTATAAGGAAGATATTTTTCTTAAAAAAATATTCTGCTATAATGTTGCCTCTCCTTCCACAAAAATGATCCATGCTTGCAACCTTTACATCATTAATTTTCATTAACATCACAAGCACATTGATAAAAATACCAAAAAGATGCTCTAAGCCAATGTTAAATGATTACTTGCAATTTACTCTGCATTTTATAGCTGTATAGTTGAGTGTGCGTCTTCTGGCGACATGTATACGGCAAACATTGAAACGTCATAGATATGTTAGTCCAGGAAGTATCTTCGCATCGAAAAATTTTCTGGTTCGTTTTCTATTAATCTTATTCAAAAAGAACCCCTTTTAACGAACCTGAATGTCGACAAATGCTCGGTCAGCCCCGATCCCTTAGATATTCGTATGAGAACAGGTAGTATAAGTATCTTGTTATGGTGTGTTTTTCGCAAATAAGTCATTATACAGGGTGCGGCAGAGAGGATAGACTGTTTCAAACAAATCATAAAATAGTTAATTTTTACTCGAAAACAAATTTATTGATGGAATCGGGTTCACAAGGAAATATCATTTGAGACAGTCAAGTGTGGAAAATCACATCAGGCATGTGGTGGCCGAAATAGTTGATGCAGTGCTGGAGGCGTTCTTGGAAGTTCGCGTAGACTCTCTCCAACATCGCTCTCTCAACTTGGGCGACTTCCACGCGAATTTCGCGCTTCAATTCGCCCAGAGTTCGGGGCATGTTCGCGTATACTCTAGCCTTGAGGTGTCCCCATAAGAAAAAATCGCATATGGATAAATCTGGGAACCGAGGAGGCCAATGAACATCGCCAAACCTGGAAATAAGGCGACCAGGGAAGAGAGGGCGAATAACATCCATGGATGCTCGGGCTGTGTGGGCGGTCGCCCAATCCTGCTGGAACCACACACGTCGGATTGGAACACGTCGCCGTCGTAATTCAGGGAGAAAGAAGTTGCTGATCATGTCGACGTAGTGCTCTGAGTTCACGGTAACACCATTACCGTCTTCGAAGAAGTAAGGGCCAATAATGCAAGTTTGCGATACTTTTGGGCTGTGCAGCGGTCTTTCGTGTAACTGTTGCGGATTTTCATTAGCCCAATAACGCTGGTTAACTATGCTGTTTAGGTGAAAGTGGGCTTCGTCACTCATAAACAAAATGAGGTTCTCATTTTGATCGATCAGTGCTTCCATCTCACGTGCGAAGCTCATTCGTTGTGCATAATCTCCGGGCTGTAACTGTTGCACAATGGCCAATTTGTAAGGCTGAAACCGAGATCCATATGCAAAATTCGCCTTACCGAACGATCACTAAGGCGAAGTGCAGCAGCATGTTTCCGGGCAGATCGAGTCGAACGCGTTCAACATTTTCAGGAGTTCGAACTGTCCGCGGCGCTCCTCTTGGTCTTCTGTTGATCAGTTTACCACGGCCTGCGAAGTGATTCAACCCAACGAAGGATGGTGTTTCGAGAGGGAACAGCTCTATTCCGATGAATGTTGAAGTGGCGACGAAACTCACGCTGTACGGCGATGACTGACTCATTATTTCGGACGAAACAATCATAGGCGAAAACGCGGTGCTCCACCGTCAAAGGCTCCATAACGACAACTGGTAAAATAATGCTAGGATCTCACGAGACAAACGGCACCCTCCCCACCTCTCTCGTAGACGGAGGCGGAGAGTACTACCCATCCCAAAAACGTCCGTCCTCTCTGCCGCACCCTGTATAAGGGTATTGAAGATAGCTGGTACAGAATTTATTTGACCAGTTAACAAAATGTATATAGGAGCTAGAAAAAGATCGACATTGTATGACAGGACTAGTGCAAAGTCTTCAAACAAAATTATATTTATTTTCGTGTGTACTCATTGAAAAGAATATTCGCATATATGCATAATAGTATTTTTTTATAATTTACGAAAGTAATACTTATGCACAGAACTAAAAATAAATTCTTGAAACTAAAGCTTCTTTTGAATTTGACAATTTGCAACAGCTCTGTCACGATATTTATGTAAAGAACCTAGAGTGATAAGGGTAATCTGTATATAGTGGTTCTAAGTGAATTGGTGAATATAAGATTTAAAACTAACCCTTGCTGTGTCTTAGATATATATATTTCTTCTATTTTTGTATGTCATTCAACGATCAGGTGTGTGAAATAACAGCACTGAATATCAAAAGGTTGGTTGAGAATCAAAATGCAGTTTGACCTTCTGACATTCCTGGAGCTGTTATAAGCTAGTCAATTTATGCCATGTACCAATTATTTTTTATTGTAAGACTGAATGATGTGTCCGACGAACTTTTAAATGAAAACCATATTGCTTTTTCATATGTATTGGAGTTTTTCTCATATAACCACATTACACACATACAGGTGCGGCACTATCGGTCCTTTTTATCTTACCAATTACCATGGGAGCATACAGGAATTTCCAGGAGCGCCAGAACAAGCCTACGAATATGCTTCCCAATTCTTTGAAAAGCAAAAAAACCCATACTTGTTCAAACGCGGTAGTAGGCAAAATTTTTCTGCGACAAATCGTTAAGATCCTGTCAGAATGTAACTCCCGAAACGTATCCTGTTTGTAGTGCGTTAGTGCTGTCAGGCAGCAGCGGTGGCCGCAGTAGTAGACTCTTCGGTCTCCTGATCAGTCGCCGTGCGCTGTGCGGGTTCGAGTCCCGTCCCAGGAGAAATTTTTCTCTTGGCTACGGATGTTGTGATTGTCCGTAGGTGGTAGATGGTCTCTGACTGTCGAACGCGGAGGTACCACCCGGCGGATCTCGCAGGCGGAGCCAGAATGTGTGCATGTTACATGCACACGTGTTCCCTCGCCAGAGTCCGTGTGGCGTTCCCCCTTTCCCATGTATCCCGCTATAGCCCCACGGTACCCAATGGGTGCTTAGGCCTTCGTGGTAGTTGGAGTATAAAAAAAAAGTGACCAAACATAACTGTTCTCCCTGGACTCTTCTACCGCTGCACCAACGGGTTTTGCTCCTCAGAGTTTTCCTCCATGGTACCGCTGATCGACAATAGGGAGATTGTGGGACCATCTATCTGAGGAGGTATTTTCAAGTTCTTTTAGACAGTTGAAAAGACGTCTTTAAGCTCCTCGTAGAAGCTGCGGTGCCCTCGTATTTACGTTTTTTTAATTATTTAGGCGCCAAAGATTTAACCTTTTCAAGATTTGGGTGTTAGTATTTCCTGTTATCACCGTTTATCTACTACATTTACTTCTTATTGTAGTCCGGAGGACTCAAAAAAACACCTGAATATTAGTACGATTTAAATTTATTGTTTTTATTCTTTATACATTATAAAAAATCTTTTTCTCCATGAACGATAATCATAATACTTTAATAATGTAAGTACTAGTGACGATGATCATGAAAAATATTGGACAAACTAAAATATCTTTGAAACAATTTATTATAAACTGGTTCCATACACAGTGTTTTATCTATAAAAAAATAGAAACAGAAATACATAATTTCACATCACTAATAACTTCAAAGTAGAGTTTATAACCGCACAGAGTCTTTTTGAAAAAACTAAATTTATTAAAACAAGCTTTTTACAAAATGTTAAATATAATCTGACTATGTACAACTGTTTACTAAATAAAATGGCTTACATAATTCATAAAACAAGCAAAATAATGTTTGATACAAACACTCTCAATACAGGCATACGAAACTCTGATGATACTACTGCGTAGTAGTGCAATTTAATCTTAAAGTTTTTCAGGAAAATCAACTGTCAACTTGACATAAATAACCTTACACTTTAATAAAACGCACGCGGAAAGGAGTTTTCATTTATTTGTGTCAATGACTACACCTTATGAAAATGACTATACCATCCTATTTTTACAAAATGATATGAATAATAGGTGTCTCAACAAGAGTGCCGGATTTGAATTTGAAGCAATTTTTTGTACGAATGATATGGTGCTTACTTGATGACAGCTATCGGACCACGCGATTAGACGTCATCGAGCAGTATTCAGACGCGCAACGTTTAAGAATCATAAAAAAAAATGGAGAAAATTACGAGGAAACAGTTCGCAAAGTACGTACAATTTTCGGTGGCAATAATGCGCCAAATGAGTCGACAGTTCGCCGATAATTACAAAATTTGAGACAAAATTCACATTGCTAAGTGTGAAGACCACTATCCGTCGCCGTCCTGCACGGGTATCACGTATCTTGAAAAGTGACTTTATGCCGATTTTTTTTTTACATTATGCTGTTATGTAGGTTTTTCTACAAGATATTAACTTAGCACTTAGTTGTACGTGTTACCTAAACATCATGAGGCTTGTTATCAAACTTTGGCTCCGATGTGATGAAAAATCTGCTTCTGAGATGGCATTACTGGAGGTCTAATGTAAGTTGTGTGTGTTGATGATAATTACATTGGGTTCTTGTCTCAAATACACTTAATTGAGATTCAAAGCTATAAATTAGTTGCGCAATCACTTTCTCTTATCCATTCTGGAAATTACATATATAAATTTGCTGAATTTCAAAAATGAGATAAAAAATATTTATATTCACTGTAGACTGTCGAAGTACAAGCTACGTACATGCTAACAGTAATTACACACAACGCGGGCGCGGTGATGATTTCCCGTAATTCTCCTCAGTTTTTCGTAATTTATAACTTTAAACATAACCTCTCTTCAGCAAGCACAACATAAAAATAACCCGCCGTGCACAGCCACTAGATATACTTCATTGGTAGCATATTCAGTAAGGATTTTCTCACACACCAAATATCACTGATTTTATACACATGCGACCAATACACATAATCATCCAGATGCGATCTTGCTATTTTCAGAGGTGAGTCGTGGATCTTTGAGTATGATCCCGAGAGAAAGAGGCAATCTTCCGAGTGGCACACGACGGCGTCTCCTCGCCCAAAAAAGGGAAGAATGAGCAAATCCAAAGTAAAAACGATGCTCATTGTCTTTTTTGACATCATAGGCATCGTCGACCATGAATTTGTTCCTCCTGGACAAACCGTCAACGCCAAGTTTTACGTGGAAGTGCTCAGGAGACTCAAACGAAGGGTCAATCGGGTCCGACAAGACATCGCAGCTGACTGGAAGTTGCACCACGACAACGCCCCGGCTCACAGCGCCGTTCTTGTGAACAACTACCTGACCAAGGCAGGCATCCCATCGCTTCCGCAGCCGCTTCCGTGACGCATTGAATGCTTGGAAATCGCGCTATCAGCGCTGCATGGACGCAGGAGGTGCCTATTATGAAAGTTTTTAAAGAATGTAACGATTGGCTCAATAATTTTTTTTAAATCGACTCAGTCCTATTACTTTCCGGACAAACCCTGTATATGCAACCAATAATGCGTGTAGTTTAGTTGAGTGATTTCTTCTTAGATGGACGTTCACAACGATCCTAGTGATCAAACGTGGAATGACTGTTTGCGCGCTAAAAACTACCTAGTTTGCAAGATGACACCTTATAGGTTTTTTTGACGTTTTATAGGTTTTTTACATGATACCCATGCTGGTCGGTCCCTCGAAAATATAGTCGCAATGCGGGAAACAGAGCCACAGTTGTCCGAAAACGTTATCCAGAATTTTAAGAAAAGACTGGCCCTGTGCCAGCGGTTTCGTGATGGCCATTTACCGGATGTCCTATTTCATGTTTAATCGCAACCATTCATCTTCATGAAATATAAATACTCGCTTAAATCGGAAAGAAATTGTGTTTTTCTTGAAAATCAAATCCGGCGCTCTTATTGAGACAACCTTTATCAATAATAAACATGCGAGTATGAAAATATGAAATGAAATTGTGGAACCGTGCAACTTAGTAGTATTAAAGTCTGGACGAACTAATGATGTAAATGGGACGTTATTGAATATTTAACATAATCCAATAAAAATTACGAAAGTTATATAAATACATTAGTACGTCTATTTGGAACTGATGAAAATAATCGTTTCCATAACTTAAATTACCAATTAAACAAAGAACTAGCACCATTAGAGCAGAAAACAAGAAATTGAGTGCATGTAGGTAATTTAGAGTAATGAGCAGTTTATGCAGCATTACAACACTTGGAATAGCTTTGCCAGTCAGCGTCAGTTGTATCTTGGCTGTCAGAGCACCTGCGAGCCTATATGCAATAAACTGTTTGCGTACACACACTATCCTACCCTGTTCCAGGCAACCTCAAATTGTCGCTATTGGGCAACAGAGAATCCAATTCAAAGGCCCCTACATAGCCCAAAAGTAACAGTATGGTGTGCAATGTCGGCTTCAGGAATTAATCGGTCCGTTCTTTTTGAGAACTGGCCAGCTAGGTGTCCAGATCTCACCCCATTAGACTTTTTTTGTGGGGATACCTTAAAAGTAAAGTTTATGCTAATCAGCCTAGGACTGCAGGTATTAATACAAGAATAATAGAAGAAATTATAGCAATTACTCCTGCATTATATTTAGCAATTTCTAACCACATGCAGACAGCATTGCAGGAGTGTTTCGACCGAAATGGAAGGCACCACGACAATATAATTTTTTAAAACATGAAATCGGCCTATATTGTGTGTATTTTTGCTTCAATAAATTAATTTTAAAACTCCAAGACAAATTTTTATCAGCCTTTAAAAAGCGAAATTTATTCCTGGACTTCCAGTTACCTGTTCGTTCAATAGCTTGCTTTTTTTCAGCTGTTTTGGAATTTAGGTAACACTGATAAATACAAAAATACTTTGCCTATAAAATCTAATAGAATATGAAATTTGTTTAAGGACGAATCGTACCAATATTCAAACGATTAAACAAAAAAATAGATGAAAAATAAAAATATATCAACATGGAAATAGCCCTCAGCTGCGACATTGACAGTAATGACAAATACAAGTCGGAACAAGCTTTTGTTACATTCCAGACGTCATCTCGGGTGTGATGCATCCCTATTTAAAGCCCATATGCTTTAAACCCAATTGCGTTGAAGGCTGGAAGGCAGCTCTTGGGCCTATATACCAGGAGAACCTGCAAAAAAGGACACTAAACCGTGACGCCTAACTGAGGATGTAGTGATACAAGCGTGTACCAGCACTGACATCTGACCGTTTGATTCTGCAGGTATCTGTTTTTTTTTACTTAACATTTATGAATGATTGCTAGTAGAAAAGTTTTAGTTTCTCCTGGTATATAGGCTCCATGGTTGATCAAATGCTGCAAACTGCCAAAGCTCAAGGCTACACGCACTCAATATCTGAACTCGCAGCTTCAAGAATGCAACGCAAAAGTGCAATTTGTCAAGCTGACTTGATTCCCCGTGAAAAACTTTCTACAACCGCTTCAAAACCACAGTCCAAACATAATCTTCTTCCCTTATTAATCTGTTTCCATAGGTGTCACCCCTTCATCAACAGACCTGCCATCTGGCAAGTTCATGCATTCCTCTATCGGAACATCAGAGATTTGCTTCGAACTGTCAATGTCATTCTCGATGCCTGCTGTCGCCCCCATGCTTTGGGAACCATCATCAAAGCTCATTTGCTTGTTACTCACCTGAAAGGATTCAAAAAACTTTATTGCAAATACTGGGCGTTTAAGAATGTTAGCATGAAGATTTAAATGCAGATTCAGAACATAAAAATATGAAAAAAGCATAGGTCTTCCTCATTGGAGGGTTACAGAAATGGCTTTATACAGTAATGGACAAAAGTATGTAGACAAATATGAATATTTACCTAAATACCTTTAGAAAACGAATTCATACTTCATAAATGCGTTAAACTAAATTCCTTGTTTTTACATTATCTGCAATGAACACAATACAAGTCTGAATATAAGCACTTTTTAATGAGGGACAAAAATATGTAGACAAATTCTTTAAACATTAGTTTAGTACAGTTTCTTGTCAGACGAGGATTAGTTTGTGTTCATCAAGTATTGTGGAATAAATTGAGTGATTTTAGGACCATGCCGCGTGGTCCAGAAATTTCTTTCGATGTGAAAACTAAGATCATTGAGTTATACAAAGATGGTCAACGTCAAGTCGACATTGCCAAAAATTTGAAGCTGAAGCGTAAAGCAGTTTGGACAATATTGAACAAATATAAACAAAAAGGTATCTTGGAAGCCTCTAAGAGAAGTAGTCGGCCTAGAAAACTAAATGCTAGATCAGTTAGATTAATAAAAGTAATTTCGTCCCAAGATACGTTTAAAACCCCAAGACAAATAAAAGCCGAAATCGAGAGAAAAGAAATTGTCAGTGTTTCTACTAAAACTATAAGTAGAAGATTAAATGATTGAAGTTATTTGGAGCATCTGTGACTGGAAGAGGGTATGTTTCAGTGACGAATCCAAGTTCAATATGTTTGGATCAGATGGTGTTCATTACGTTAGACGTCCTAGTGGACAAAGATTGAACCCCAAGTACACTTTGTCCACTGTCAAACATGGAGGCGGGTCGTGTGTGGTTTGGGGGTGGTTTTCGGGGTTTGGAATGGGATCTTTACATAGAATAGTTGGCATTATGGATAAGTTTGTATACATAGACATACTAAAGTATGTCATGTTACCTTATATGGAAGACAATATGGCCTTAAGCTCAATCTTCCAGCAAGATAATGACCCGAAGCACAACACTTCAAATCTCGCACAGAAATTCTTTCTGGATAAAGAAATACCAGTTCTCAAATGGCCTTCACAGTCTCCCGATATAAACCCCATTGAAAATCTATGGGAATACTTAGATAAGCAAATACGTGATAAAAATTATTCAAACAAGGATGAACCTTTTGCCGCTTTAGAGCAACAATTGAGACAGATTGATGAATCTTATATCAAGAAACTTCTACAATCTATGGCGAGACGATGCCAGGCGGGGATTGATAATAATGGTTATGCAACAAAATATTAACACAAACATGGTTGGTTTTCTATAATTCAATGAACTTTGCTTCTTTTTTCTATAATTGTTTTGCTTTGTCTATATATTTTTGTCCTTCATAGTTCCAGTTTTTTCAATTATTTTTTTATTGAATGAATTTATTTATGTATAAGTGAGTATTATGCTATAACGAATTATGTATACAGGTTGGCGTATTAATAAAACAAGTCAAAAAATAAATACAGCACAATATTAATTTGTCTATATACTTTTGTCCATTACTGTATATACATGTCTCTCACACATACATAATGCAATCGGACTCTATATCAGGATGTTTGTTTGTGCAAGCTCACAGTTTTGTTAGTTAGTTTGGTCTCACCACCTTGAACATCTACATACGAGTCTTCCACATTTCTGCGTTAGTCAATTTGTTTACTCGTTTCGTATAACATCGTGACGTAACCGCCAAAAACAGTGAAAGGACCTATACAGGGTGTCCGCAAAGTTGGGGTTTTCCTTTACACGACGTGTAGATCTTGAAAACATAAGCAATTTTTCTTAGTACCATATACACCAATGTCTTAAGGGAACCGAGATAAAGGGCTCTGCAACATCAAAAATATCTGAATACCGTCCTGTAACCGCGACCCGCCGGGATATCCCCGACTGTTACAAGGTCTCTACCCGACGGCAGAACTGGGTCGGGGTCAGTGTGTCAGGTTAGTATGCAACCTTCAACCGACGGTTACAGTCACGCGTGTAGAGGTCAACGAACTCGTATAATCGATTGCGTTTCAAAAAACAACAAGCCCTAAAGACGTGGCTAGAGAAGTGCAAGTATCAAAAACTAAAGTGTGGCAAACGCTGCGTGAAGAGGGGCTGTATCCGTTTCACGTCCAACGTGTACAAGCCCTTCAACCTGACGATTTTCCAGCAAGAGTGCGGTTTTGTGAGTGGTTGTTGCATCAACATGACAATAATCCGGACTTTTTGAAGTGCATATTGGTGACAGACGAATCTACGTACACGCGTAATGGGTTGAATAACTTTCGCAACACTCATGTTTGGTCATTTTCAACAAACATTTTTGGTGAATGTTTGGGCTGGCATGGTGAACGGTATGCTCATTGGACCATTTATTCTCCCAAATCGATTGGACGGGATGCAATACCTAGACTTTTCACGCAACATTTTGCCTTTGTTAGAAAATGTGCCATTAAGTGTAAGACAATCAATGTGGTTTCTGCGTCTGCTCGGTAGCGCTTCAGCTGATTTCATTTTCTGTTGGAGCGGTATGATTTCGGGTAGAGACGTACTTAGCCCTTCTCGTCAACTGGAGAGTGAGTACTTTTTCCTTTATTTTTTTTTTACTTGGTCGCCCTCGTTTCACTACACATTACCTTTGTTATTTCAAGGGTAGTTGTTTCTGAAAAGGAAAACCCCAACTTTGCGGACACCCTGTATAAACATTGGTCCGGAATATCCCCGTTTCCATGGTATAGAATTATAAGACGTCCAAATTATCACCATGTTAGCGTCTTTCACAGGGGTAAAATTATTGCCTATCGAGATGTTGGTTTGTTGTAGGAGAGTAAGACGCCGCCGTGGAGAACGGCGTGATATTGGATTTGCTGTTGTGAGGCATGTACCCAGGAGTGTTGGAGTAATTGTTTAGCCAATCATCCCTACTGTTTGTTCGAGGCAATATGACTGCTGCGCGTTATGTTGATGTCCTACAAACCACTTTACTGCCATATCTAGAGGGACGTCCAGACGTCCTCTTTCAGCAAGACAACGCTCGTCCTCATATTGCTCGTGGTACTACGGACTTTCTCCAAGTTTTTCCATGGCCACCTCGTTCGCCGGATTTAAATCCCATCGGATATGATGGGGAAGAGACTATCCATTTTACACCATCCGCCGCAGATTCTGCCACAGCTAATCCACGCAGCTAGAGTTGTTTGGATTGAGGTGCCACAATCAGACATCGATCATCTCATTTTGTCGATGCCTACACTCTATACAGAAATGTATTCAGCTGCGGGCTCGCCCAATACACTATTAATTTTTTTTCTTATCACTTGTCAATAAAATTTCGTGAGAGGCTTATCATTTCATTCTTGATGTAAGACTACCTCACTTCCAAAAAATCAAGTTTAAATTCTTTTTTCTGGTTGTAACATTCCTAATGTCATCGAGTGTATTTTGGGGAGGCAACAGTGACTCTACCAGGGCTTTCAGATCACAAAAAACGATCAGTACGCACTATGCTATCTCTGTAAAATAGACAAACTTGCATAGGAAGGTTTAGAGGGCTGAATATTCTCACTATGGCAGGTATTTACATTTTCAGTGTCTCCTGTTTTTGTTTAGAAACAGATAACAATTTAGCGCCTATGGAACACCTGAAGGTATACAAGCCATAGTTACCTCAATTACCCTCGACACAGACTTACCGTAACGGAAAAGGACACTACTAGAACGACGGTTATGTTTTTAGTGCGTGTGTTTGTATGTGTGTGTGTATATGTCGCCAAGAATAATGTTATTTCACGGGCAACAGTTTAAATGTCTTGATAGATTTTAACATATGAGGTGAGCAAATAAATTATACTAACAATTTCATAGCATCAAACGCCATTTGGTTTCTGATAAACGTTTATCCATGAAAAACTGTGTGTATTCACTTACCATATCTGATATCAAATTTTGAATGTCATCCGACGTTATGTCGCCTTCTATGCAATTTCCCTTCTCCAAAGAATTTTGAGAAGCCCCTTCATATTCTCTAGGAGGTTCAGACTCATCTCCACATTGAGGTTCATTTTCGCTCACTTGAGGCAACTCGTCTTGGCCCGCATTGCTGTCCTCTTGGTAATTCTTTTCTACATCATCTTCTACATCCCTATTATCTTCCGCAGTATCTTCAACGTCTCTAGCATTCTCGTCTTCACCATAAGTCTCGGATGCATCTTGACTCTCTTCAGCAGCTTGAGGTTCGCTCTCCGTCGCTCCTTGCGACGACTGCGTTTCATCTACTATATTGCTTGGTTCTTCAACTGGTTCACTTTCATCATTTCCCTCTCTGGTAACTTCTGAATCTTCGTCCTTAGCATCCTCTACATAGTCTCCTCCAGATTCCTTCTGAACATCATCATTTTCGCCTTCGATTACATCTTGATCGTTATCATCTTTTTCTTCTGAGGCCTTATCGGTAGACTCAATCTCGTCCTGCTGTTCTACAGCATCAACTCTCGAACTAGATTCCTCTTCATTGTGATTTTCACTAGTATCGACTTCGGGTCTCTCTTCTTCGACTTTTTCTTGCGGTTCAGTTTCGGAAGAATCAACCTCTGACTTAGCTTCGTCCTGATTCTCGACTTTAGGACTTTCGCCATCCTCATTTTGGTTCTCGATTGCGTCAACTTGCGAATTGACCTCATCTTGAATTTCGGTATTATCAACTTTTGAACTAGCATCATCTTCAACTTGATTTTCAGGGGCCTCAGCTTGTGAACTAGCTTCCTCTTGATTCTCGGAAACGTCAACTTTTGAACTGTCTTCACTTTCATTTGGCTCATTAACTTTTGACGTTTCCTCATTCTCCTCAGCTTCAACTGTCGAACTAGGTTTATCTTCAATTTCATCCGTTTCCATCTTGGAACCACCATCTTCATTTACATCAACATTAGGTTTGGAAGTATCTTCCTCTTTTTCTGCAGCGTCAGTACCATCACCTTTAGAACTCGCCTCATCATCCTTTGGGCTAGAACGGTCTTCAGCTTCTGAGGCAGTAGTTGATTCCTCGACTTTATCTTTTGTTTCATGCGCTTCTGTTTCTTTATCCGCCTCGTCAGTATCCATTTTTTCTCCTTCTACATTATCAACTTTTTCCGTTGTTTCTGCAGCAGCCTTTGTTTCTTCTTCTGCAGTAGTTGCACCTCCCGCGGTTGTATCATCTGCCTTAATTGGTACTTCCTCATCTTTAGTTTTCTCTGTCTTCATTTCTTTTCCACATTCCACTGGTTCCGGCCTTCTTGTTCTAGTAGCTTTATTTCTTGATACAGTTTGACCTTCCTCTGGTTTTCTCACCAATCCTAGTACATCTAACATGCTGTGGGTTACTGTAGCTGCCTTAGCTTTGACTTTTGAGGGATATGATGATTTCTTTTCGCAGATCGCAAGATGCTTAGCAATTTCATTACCTGAACAAAATATAACTATGAAACGGTATGGTTAAAAAATCTAACTAACTTAAAATAACCTAAAGATGACACGCCACATTCAAGTATTTTCGCCAACCCTCACGAGACTAGTCTCCTCCCTCTAAAAACGCCTGATACACCCTTGTATACAGTTGGTTATGGTCGCAGAGACGGAAAGCAAATAGATCCTACTCAGCTTGTAGATCAAAGACGTGAAGTGAACGTAAACGCGAGACAGCTACGCCTATAAAAACAAAGTAACTGAAAATGATATTAGGAAACTTACCGTCTGTGCTGCAGAATCCACAAATACAGTGCATCTCAAACGGTAGCTTGTCCTCCGCCACTGGATTGCCCGTTTTACTGCATTTTGCGTTATGTTCTTGCATCGCGTTTGTGCAACACGTAGAATACTGACAGTTCGGATTCTGACAAGTCTCGAATGACCTAAAAAATATAAACGGTACAGTTAAAATCATCAATAACGTATAACGTTTCAAAATAGAAATACAGCAGACGCTCGATAACGTAAACACGGGATAATGAAAACTTGCGCTAATGTAAACACAAACTTCGTTCTATAGGATCAAACGGAACGCGCGATAACGTAAACAATGTGTACGCTCGATAACGTAAACAACTCTCGGCGCACGGAAACAGCGCGACGGTAAAATGCTGAAGCCTCGATGATTTATGTCGGGCGTCGGGGAGTCCCCGATTTATGATGTAGAGTGTAGGGGATTCACCTCTGCGATAAAATACGACAAACTCGGTCAGTCGTATGATCGTTTAGGATACGTTTATACGTACGTATGTATTTCATTTTTGAACTTGTGAATACATGGCACGCGTTAATATATTTTACGACTATGGCATCCTTATCCTATAAAAGAAAGTGTTTAAAGTTGAGTGAGAAAGTGAAAATCATAGACGAAGTTGCACTAGGTGCGGGAGTGACACAGTTAGCACAAAAATATGGAGTATCGAAAGCAACAACCTGTAAAATTAAGCGTATGAAAACTCAAATTTTACATTTGGAGGTCCGGGAAAAAGAAAAACTTTAAAAAATGCGAAGGCACCTAAAATGAAAAATTTCCTGTATAAGTGGTTTTTAAAACAACGGGAAAATCATGTCCCAGTTAGTGGCGAAGTACTTAAACAGAAAGCGAGACTAAATGAAAAACTGAAAGAAACTGAAAATTTCGTAGCTAGTGATGGCTGGCTACAACGATTCAAAACAAGATATGGAATTCGACTGCTGTGTCTATATCTGGTGAAAAATTATCAGCACAACCACAACTAGTGCAACCATTCAAAGAAAAATTGATGAAAACAATTACCGAGCTAGATTTAAGAATGGAACAAATTTACAACGCAGATGAAAGTGGCCTTTATTGGAAAATGTTACCAGAGAAAACCTATGCTGCATCATTTGAAAAATCTGCCCCGGGAAGAAAGCCGGAGAAACAACGAATAACGTTTCTAGCCTGCACTAATGCTAATGGTTCACACAAAATAAAGCCACTGTTAATTGGGAAAGCAAAAAATCCGCGCTCATTTAAAAATGTTAATATCCCTGTTGATTATGACTGTTCAAAAACCGCTTGGATGACTAGCAGTATATTCCTGAAATGGTTCCACAGATGCTTTGTCCCTCAGGTATGACAATCAATTATCACAAATGCTCTATTCATAATTTGAAGATGTGTTTTCAATTTGTAGATAAAAGGGTTCCTAAAACAACAGAAGCTTCCAATAAAAGCGTTGTTACTATTGGATAATGCACCAAGTCATCCTCCCGAGCAACAACTGATGAGCAGGGATGGGTCAATTTTCGTCATGTACATGCCGCCCAACGTAACACCGTTGATTCAACCGATGGACCAGAATATAATAAGACTCACCAAACTATACTATAGGAAGTTTCTATTTTCGTCTGTCTTATCAAAGCATCCTGAAAACTTATCTGAGGCTTTAAAAAAAGTAACATTACGAGAAACTGTTTTAGATTTACATATGACCTGGAATGAACTTAACCAGCAAACTATTCAAAAATGTTGGAACAATCTATTTTGTACCAATAATGAAAATGATGAAGAAGACGATGTCCCCTTAAGCGTAATTAGAGAACGTTTGCGATCCAATAATGATAATGTTATTAGTGTGTCATTGGATGTTGTTGATTTATTGAAAACAGTGAATCCCAACATTGTTTGTACTCCTGCTGATATTAATTTATGGAACGAAGATAAGCAGACGAATGATGCTGATAAGGAGGAGGATATGGACAGTGAGGATGATGATAACGATCCCATTGAAGTCAGAAGTGTAGTGACTGACGCGCAAGCTATACAAGTTTTTAACCAAGCTTTAGATTGGGCTGAAAGAAAAGAAGTTTCATACACGGATATTTTAGTTCTTCGTAAATTACGGGCGCAGGCATTGGAAGATATTCGTTTATTTTGTTATAAATAGTATGTATTAAACGTTTCTTTTAATAAATCAAATACTATATAAATCACGTTCGCTAATGTAAACATTTCGATAATGTGAACCACACTTGGATTAAATTAGTTTACATTATCGAGCGTCTGCTGTAATACTAAGCTGTGCATAACCGTACTTACGGGAAGTGTTTGGGAGCATCCAAGGGCTGATCACACTCCTTACACACTAGATCTTTTGGAACATTATATCGAAGGGTATCAAAGTTTATCACGTCTGCATCTCCCGGATACTTGTCCATTTTGCTTTTAGGTACCATCACTCCATTCCTCGGTGCAAGCCACGGCACCAATCCCTGCATAACGAAAAAAATACTAGAATCGCATATACTTCTCGCCTAAATTTTGTTTTTTGCCGGGAGTCCTTTATATCTTTATTTTCCGTTCATTTGCTAATATACAGGGTGTAAACGTTATGATACTCATTATTTAAATGGGTGATAGAAGGGGTTAAAACAACGCCGCAATGCCAGACGCAAATAACGACGGAACGCAGGGTAAATAAAGGAGTTTGTTATGTTTGGCTCTTAGGTATTATTTCATTATTTGATAATGTACTTGTAAAAAGCAAACAATTAAAAAAACGGACTTACCACTAACTTTCTCAGCGCTTCACCTGGTGTGTGAAAGTTTATTGAACGTATTGAAAAAATCCACTTATAAATAGGGAACACAATTTTGACATACATTGTTTATCTTTTTAAAACCCACACTGCACTTTTTTGTATTTCAAGGTGTTCAAAATGTCGTCCTCCACGTTCCACACAAGCTTCATTACGACGAACAAAGTTTTTTCTTACTCTAGGTCCTTGAAGTTGTCCATTTATTATTTCAGCCTCATTATAAATTTTTTCGCGAAGTTGTACGTCAGTTGTTATTGGACCAGCCTCATAAACCATCCCTTTAAGTTCTCCCCAATACCAGAAATCTATCGGATTGAGGTCAGGAAAAATGTGTGGTGGTGCCCCGTTATGAAGAAACCACAAATTCTGTCTCCGTTGTAATGGCATGTTGTCTAAGGTCTGTTCCAAAAGTTGTGGTAGGTTATTAGCTAGAAAGCAAGGTATCCTTCTCCTGACAACTTTGTGGGTAACTCGAAAGTGCCAATTCACTGGACAACAAATTTTAGTTTTTTAATTGTATCTTGTGGGAAAAGTGCACTTCTTTGTTAATTTTGGGGCGCTGAATCCAAAAATTACTATGAAATAAAAAAATTAGTTGCGGTTTAGAAAAAAAACTTTTTATTTTTAAGGATATATTAAAAAAAGTAACAAGATTCATATACTTATAAGAATCACTATATGCGCTGTCTTTTTGCTGTTCTTTTATGGATCGTTTCTGGAGCATCTCTACCAAGAGTCCAACAGTAGTCTGCAAGCATGGAAGGATTCCACTTTCCCTGGTACCTTTTTTCCATTGTTGAAATATCCTGATGAAAACGTTCGCCGTGCTCATCATTTACGGCTACGCAATTGTCAGGAAAAAAGTCCAGGTGTGAGTGTAGGAAATGTATCTTAAGAGACATATTACAGCCCATCTTTTGATATGATGACAGCATATTTTTGACAAGGGTTTTATAGTTGTCAGCTTTTCTATTTCCCAAGAAATTAGTGACCACCAGACAGAAATCATTCCAAGCAGTTTTTTCAATACCTGTTAAAGTGTTTTCAAACTGTGTATCTTTCAAAATATTTCGAATCTGTGGCCCAACAAAAATACCTTCTTTAACCTTTGCCTCAATTAGTCTTGGAAATTTCTGACGCAGGTATTGAAAATCTGACCCATCTCTATCTAATGCCTTGACAAAGTTTTTCATTAGGTCCAACTTGATATCCAGTGCAATAAAATTTTTTTCGAATCTACTAATGGCATATGCTGTACATTTTTTTGACCTGGCTCTAGGAATTGACGAACAGGCCAGTTTTGTCTGGTGTAATGAAGTGCCTTTGCCCGACTGTCCCATTCACACAAAAAACAGCAAAACTTTGTGTAGCCTAGCTGCAGCCCAAGTAAAAGTGCAACAACTTTCAAATCGCCACAAATATGCCATTGGTGCTCATCGTATTTTATGCATGTCAATAGGTACTTCATATTGTCATATGATTCTTTCATGTGAACTGCATACCCTACAGGAAGAGATGGTAAAATATTCCCAATATGCAATAACACTGCCTTTAAACTCAATGTTGAACTATCTATAAACAATCTCCATTCTTCTGGGTTATAGTTTATATTTAAAGCCGCCAGTAAGCCGTTAATGTTACTGCAGAAACCAAGTTATTCTCCATATTGAAAAATGGTTCTAAGTCTTTGTGGCGTTTACGAAAAACACATACCGAAACATCGTCTTCTAACAAGTTCCACTGCTGCAGTCTTGATCCAAGTAACTCTGCCTTACATTTTGGAAGTTCTAAATCTCTTACAAGATCATTTAATTCTGACTGTGTTATTTTGTGCGGTTGGTGGCATGACGTGCTCGGTATAAAATCAGGATCTCTTGACGTTGATGGCATATCTTCTTCCTGACGAATCACTCGATCGCTATGATCTGATTCGTTTTCTGATTCGCAAGTGTAGGATTCTGGGGGTTTTGGAATAGGATTTTCGTCACTGTGAGGCACAGGTCTCATCGCAGATGGTATGTTTGGGTAGTTAATAACCGATTTTTTTTTCTTGGACATATCTGTGGCTTGTCCAACACAAGGTACCATGCAAAAGTAACAATCATTAATATGATTTGTAGGCTCTCTCCAAACCATTGGGACAGCAAAGCGCATAGACCGTTTTTTTGCCATTTAACCAGCTCCTCAGACTTGAAGCACATGTATTACAGCAGATGTGAGGTGCCCACTGTTTGTCTTGAACACCTTAGTTTACAACCGAAATCAAGCTGATATGCCTTTGTTATTAGTGGAGTAATAGACCGTCTCTGAGACGCAAAAGTCACATCACCACACATGTAACAAAACTGATCTGGATTGTTTACGCACTTTCCAGACATCTTGCATGAACGCTGTCAGCCAACTGAGGAAAAAATGGCTAATATAAAACAATATAATGTACACGTATGTATAACGTAACACAATCATGCCGATTACATCATCTTTCCTTGCCGAATATAAAAATGTAGCACGTGCATTCTTGTGAATTACAGTATATTAACAGTGTCACAGCAGGAACACATATAATTACCGTATCTCTAAAACTTGAACTAATATTGAAAAAATAAGTTTCATTCCGGTTTTAGCACATTAAAAATAGTAATATTTTGTTGATTTTATTTAGGATATTTTTTGTCTGTTGATCAGTGTTACCTGATCGTCAAGAATACCCACCCAAATATTTATTTCAAAACGTTGTTGGGAATGACCTTCACGAATGGTATGAGGATTTTCTTGGGCGCACGTGTGAGTATTATGGAAATTTAATATCCCGTTTCGCGTAAAAGTACATTTGTCCGTCGCCAGAATGTTTTTAAAAAAATCCAGATTTTCATGGTATTTGTGCAAAAACCACTGACAGAATGTTAGTCTGCGAGGATAGTCTTCTGGTACGTCCTGATCTCGTTGTACTTGGTAGGGATAAAGCAAATTTTCCCGTAGGATTCTATTCACTATGGTATGCAATAGTCCTACGCGGCGGCCTAATTCCCGAGTGCTGATACCTACATTGATTTCCATGATATTTAAAATTTGTTCCTCCTGCTCTACAATAACCTGTCTTCACCGTAAACTAACAACATGTCGACGAACTCTTGATCGAGAACATTCTAAACAAACACGACGACGTACGCGAACAAAAACAAAACAACATACTAACCACTGTTACCGTTTGCGATCGATTGCCGGTTCGATAAGGGGTATGATGACCGACGCGCTGTTGCCATGTGTGTTTTAAATATTTAATATAATGAAATTTACTTACTGACTACAAATTTTCGCTTAACTTAGAAGAACTTAATGCCATCTATTTGTTAATTACCCAATTTAGATTAGATTATAAAAATGAGCAAGATAATGGTCGATATAAAGCACTTAAAGTTGTAAACTATATAGCCATTTAGACAAAAATCTATTGACTTCTGGACTATGGGTCATATGAACTTTTTGACTTGTTTTGACCCCCCGTATTACCCATTTCAATAATGACTACCATAACGTTTACACCCTGTATTAATCCAAATACGCAAATCAGTTACATCACCTGTTTCCCTCTTTGTGATACGTGCATCCTTGTCTGATGGTCCTTGAGCACATCCTTCTGAACGAACCACAGGTTGCACTTGCCGCACCGTTTCGCGTACTGCTTACGCTGGTGTTTCTGCAAATGCTGGATGAAGTAGTTAACGTTTTGAGTGATGTTCCGAGATGACGAAAATACCGTCGTGGATTTCAAGCAGAACGGACACTGGATCGTCGGACCGTGATCATGAGTCCTGAAATGCATCCATGTGATAAAGGGGCAGAAATTATATGAATCAATCGGCCAAACTAGTTTTTACGATACAAAGGGTGTGACAATATCTGCGAAAGGTTGGGAAATCTCGAAACTGGAGATACTACAGAGCAAAATATGTGAATTGACCTGAACATACCTCAGTCCAAAAGGTGATAGTTTGAGAGATACAGGGTGTCCAAGTTACAATGTTATTTTCTATTTTTTCTTATCGCTCGTGAAGTATTTCAGATTTTGGCATAAAACTCGGTGTAGGGAGGTTTTCTAGTACGAGAAACAAGAATCCGTTATTTTTTACGATCAAACTTCTAGAGGGCGCCACTTTCAGCACTATTTCGGTAAATAACTTATCATCACTTTTTTACGCTACAAAAACTGGCCGAAAAATATTTTCTCGTGTTTCCACAACGCCCTCGTGAAAACGCCATGACAGAATCAAAAATATTAATTTTGGGAAATAGTAATAATGGGTGATTTTTTTGCTAGTATCTTCTTGGCAACACTGTTTTTGACAGATGACGCGTGAATCGTGTCTTGTATCATTGTCAAACTTGTTCAGTTGGGTCTATAATTTAACCATGAATCGATTTACGAACGAACAACGCTTGCAAATTATTGAATTTTACTATCAAAATGCATGCTCGGTTAAGAGAGTGCATCGAGCACTGCTTCCAATTTATAGGCAATTTGGTCGGCCTACTGAGGGAGCTATTCGGAAGCTTGTGACTAAATTTCGAATCCAGTTTACATTACTGGACATTAAACCACCAACACGCAGACGTAGAGTGAGGACTGAAGAAAATATTGCGGCTGTATCCGCCAGTGTTAGTGATGACCGTGAAATGTCGATTCGCCGCCGTTCGCAGCAATTGGGCCTCTGTTACTCCACTACGAGGAAAATTTTGCAACAGGATTTGGGTGGAAATCCTTATAAGATACAGCTGGTGCAAGAATTGAAGCCACACGACCTCCCACAACGTTTCCAATTTGGTGAATGGGCGCTGGCAAAGTTGGAGGAAGATCCACATTTTTATCGAAAAATTGTGTTCAGCGACGAAGCTCATTTCTGGTTGAATGGGTACGTTAACAAGCAAAATAGCCGCATCTGGAGTGAAGACCAGCCAGAAGCATTGCAAGAGCTACCAATGAATTCCGAAAAAATCACTGTTTGGTGTGGATTATGGGCCGGTGGCATCATCGGGCCGTACTTCTTCAAAGACGACAATGGCCCGAACGTAACTGTGAATGGCGAGCGCTACCGTGCGATGATAACAAACCTTTTTTGCCCAAAATGGAAGAGCTGGACTTGGCTGACATGTGGTTTCAACAGGACGGTGCCACATGCCACACCGCACACGAAACAATGACCCTATTGAGAGGCGAGTTCGGTGAACAGTTTATCTCACGTTTGGGGCCCGTCAATTGGCCGCCTAGATCGTGCGATTTAACGCCGTTGGACTATTTCTTGTGGGGCCATGTTAAGGCTAATGTCTACAGGGATAAACCAGCAACGACTGGCGCACTGGAAGCCAATATTGAAGCATTTATTCGTGAGATATCGGCCGATATGTTGGAGAGAGTGTGCCAAAATTGGACCTTGCGCATGGGCCATCTAAAGCGGAGCCGCGGCCAACATTTACATGAAATAATCTTTAAACATCAAATTATATCGACCGTTCTATCCCTCTCTAGACCTCTTAAAAAATCACTCGTTATTTACAATCATCAAATAATATTTCTATAATAGTTCTCATTGTTGCACGCCAAGGATTCTTTCCGCACCTGGTATTTTAGTACTGATATTGAAAAGCCACATGATGGATCCATTTGACATCAAACGTGTTGCTCCTTATAGTAAATTCGTTTTTTCAAAACACGAAACCGTACAATATAATTCTATGTTTCATCAGAACTTACTTGTAGAAATGGTCGATGGCCTGTTTGTGATTGGAACACTTATAGCCGCAAGTGCCGCACTGGTACGGAAGTTCTGAAGGGCAATGCTCCTTGGACATGTGTTTGCCCAGGATGAACGGATTCATGTATTGGGTCTCGCAGATCAAGCATACGAAACCGCTGTCAAACTTCGTTTCAGCAGGATGCGACGAGGCTGCAACAAATACACAGATAAAGATTTATATGTATAATTTTATGTAAATAGGTATATCAAATTGTGAATTTCAATATCAATCGTACCTCAGGTGCTAGAAAGTGTCTAAAAAAAACAAGATCAAGTCAATGAACACTGGCTTTTTGTGTAAGCTATTTAGTGCAAAACTATTCAATCAAAATACCGGGTGCGCCATCTTTTATGTCGTTATTGAAACATAGAATGACTTTGATATTTACCAACCGAGTGATTTGGTTATACGTGTTTCTGAAACGTCAATTTACTACAATTTTAGTCATGAAACGCTTTACACCGAAACAACGCTCCAAAATAGTCACACTGTACATTGAAAATGGTTGTTCAGTTGTGTTAACGAAACGAGCACATCGTCGAAAATATCGTGGCAAACAGGCACAGTCTGACAACACTATCCCTCGTTTGGTTTCGAATTTTCTTGAGTACGGGACAGTGGGAGATCGTCAACATGCCGTTCGTCAACGACCAAGACGTTCCAATGAATTGGTTGAAGCGGTCAGAGACAGAAACCAAAAGTGTCGTATCGTCACCGCGCTCAGCATTTTGGCATCAGTGGAACCACGTTGCGGCGACCCCACCGGACTTCTTGTGGGGTAATTTGACAAGTCAAGTGTACGCCAACAAGCCCCATACCACTGAAGAACTCAAGGCAAATATTCGTTCCGCAATCGCCGCTATACAACCAGAGATGCTCGAAAAAGTAATGGAAAACTCAGCAAAACGGGCACATTTTGTTTTGGCCAAAAATTCAGAGTGACAAGCCGATCTCTGCCGCTGAGCTGGAAAAAAGAAGACTAGCGACGACTTCTTCTCTGACAAGAGACCTGGAGGCTATCACTGCTTGGGGACGCAACAATCTTGTACAGTTCAATGCTTCCAAAACACAGTACTGTACCTTGACGAACAAAAAGCGTCCTAGCGCTCAAACAGTTTCGATGGACGGTCGAGTTCTACCAAAGAGCCATTCATTTCGGCTGGTCGGAGTCCAGATCACCGAGGACCTGATCTGGCACGAACACATCTCTTCAATAGCTGCAGCTGCTGGGAAAAAGCTAGGCTATTTGTTTAGGGCTAAGAAGTACTTTTCTCCGCATGACCTTCTCTCTCTATACAAGGCCCAGATAAGGCCTAGCCTCGAGTATTGCTCACACATTTGGGGTGCTGCCGCCCCGACTACATTGTCCATGCTCGATGCTGTCCAAAGGAGGGCGGTCCGACTGATCGATGACTCTTCTCTAACAGACAGTCTCGGGACTCTTTCGCACCGGCGCGCCGTCGGCGATCTAGCTCTTTTCTATCGCTACACCAACGGGCTTTGCTCCTCAGAGCTCTCTTCCATGATGCCGCCGCGCAATGCGCCTGCCAGACAGACCCGCCTGACTTCGGCATCCCATCCTAACCGTGTCAAACTTCGTACATCCAGAACTGGCCGATACGACCGCTCCTTTGTCCCGAGGGTGTCTATATTGTGGAACAATCTACGGGAGGAAGCTTCTTCCAGTTCTACTAACCTTAGGCAGTTCAAAAATCGTATTAACAAAATTTCTTTGGGATCATCATAGCAGCCGCGGTGTTCCGGCATTTAGGCTTCTGCCTGCGCGGCTGTTTCGATATAAAAAAAAAAAGGTGGCCACGCCACTTGATAGATGTTGTGTTCAAAAACTAGTCCCAATAAATTGTAAAGGACCATATTTAATAAAAATACCCGATAAATAGAAATCAGTTTTTCTTTTTCAAAGTAATTTCATGTTTACATACTGACATAAAAGATGGCGCACCCTGTATACATGCTACAACAGTTGATGAGATAAAAGCTTGGGGTGCAATTAACTATATTTTTATAATAACTCCAATTTTGTAAATAGCACCTCACACTTTATTACAAGAATTTTTTGTAGATATATAAATTTTTACATTTATTTCAAATTAATTCTATACTTGAAAATTATTTTCTATTTTTTAGTTTGATTTGCTATTAAATCCTGTTTGTTTTTTTTTTAAACTATAAGGTATTTTCTAAATTTCTAGTGTCAAAAGGGCAACAAGTGTACGATTTTTGTTATATTTTATATTTGACAATAAATCTACATTAACTTTCAGTTTTTTTCAAATTATGAAATTTCCCATTTTTTTCGAAAATTGCAAAATGAAATTATTTTCCGAATTATCCAAATTTTCAAATCAAATTATTTTCCAATTTTTTCTAAATTTTCGAATGCATGATGAATTCATGTGCTCGAGTTTTTATCAATTTTATGTTTTGATCTCAATATAATGGCCATTTTTTATGCTTACCAATATGTTTCAGCAGATCGCCGGCAGTTGGTACACTCGTCAAACAGTACCTGCACAGCTGAGCGTCTTGAGACACGTTGTGCGCGTGTTTGAATAGATGGCTCATCAACTGGATGTTGTTGTCGAACAGCGATTTGCAGAACGGGCATTTCATATTTAACACGACCCTGGGGGTCTTCGAGTACGTGTCAATCGTACCTGGAAGAGATAAAGAAACATTTTAAATTTAAATAGTTATGTTAAGGAAATAAAACCTCACAGCTGGATATAAAGGGTATTCCATCCGTTCCTTCTTTTTTTAATCCAAAAAAAACACACTTTGTATGAGTGAGAGACCGAACTCTTTATTGAAAATTGTAGGTCGGTCTTTGCCATTTATGTATGGAATATAACATCGCACATATGTCCACCTCGGCTTCCTTGACATGCCATCATCCGAACATCAAAATTTCGGTGCGAATGTTGTAGTTAAGGTCTTGAATCGTGCGTGGGGCAGTCGCGTACACTTTATTTTTCAAAAATCCCCAGAGAAAATAGTCCAGTGGCGTTCAGTCGCACAATTCACGTCGGAATTTCTCGAAATGATATCTGCTCCGTCTTGCTGGAATCAAAGGTCGTTGGCATCAATACTTTCCAATTTCGGCCACAAAAAAATCCGTTATCATACCACGATAAGATTCGTCCGTTTTCGTAATATTTTTGGACGACCAAAATGCGTTCTTGCGTTGTTCCATAATAACAAATGGCAGACCTTTGATAGTTCATATGTGCTAAATACATGGCAGTTGACACATTCAACATGTCAAAAATAGTAGTTGAAAAAATAAGCAATAGATGGAACACCCCATACATATAGATACAGCAGACGCTCGATAATGTAAACTAATTTAATCCAAGTGTGGTTCACATTATCATGTTTATTATGTTTACATAAGCGAACGTGATTTATATAATATTTGATTTATTAAAAGAAACGTTTAACATAACAAAATAAACAAATATTCTAACAGCGATAAGTATTTTTTTAATTAGAAGAAAAATAATTAAAAATTTTTGTCTGCGTAAATTTGCGCTTAGCATTGTCTTCCCGTAATTTACGAAGAACTAAAATAACCGTGCATGAAGCTTCTTTTCTTTCAGCCCAATCTAAAACTTGGTTAAAAACTTGTATAGCTTGCGCGTCAGTCACTACACTTCTGACTTCAATGGGATCGTTCTCATCATCCTCACTGTCCATATACTCCTCCTTATCAGCATCATTCGTCTGCTTATCTTCGTTCCATAAATTAATATCAGCAGGAGTACAAACAATGTTGGGATTCACTGTTTTCAATAAATCAACAACATCCAATGACACACTAATAACATTATCATTATTGGATCGCAAACGTTCTCTAATTACGCTTAAGGGGACATCGTCTTCTTCATCATATTCATTATTGGTACAAAAGAGATTGTTCCAACATTTTTGAATAGTTTGCTGGTTAAGTTCATTCCAGGCCATATGTAAATCTAAAACAGCTTCTCGTAATGTTACTTTTTTTGAAGCCTCAGATAAGTTTTCAGGATTCTTTGATAAGACAGACGAAAGTAGAAACTTCCTATAGTATAGTTTGGTGAGTCTTATTATATTCTGGTCCATCGATTGAATTAACGGTGTTACGTTGGGCGGCATATACATGACGAAAATTGACCCATCCCTGCTCCTCAGTTGTTGCTCGGGAGGATGACTTGGTACATTATCCAATAGTAACAACGCTTTTATTGGAAGCTTCTGTTGTTTTAGGAACCCTTTTACCTACAAATTGAAAACACATCTTATGAATAGAGCATTTGTGATAATTGATTGTCATACCTGAGGGACAAAGCATCTGTGGAACCATTTCAGGAATATACTGCTAGTCATCCAAGCGGTTTTTGAACAGTCATAATCAACAGGGATATTAACATTTTTAAATGAGCGCGGATTTTTTGCTTCCCCAATTACCAGTGGCTTTATTTTGTGTGAACCATTAGCATTAGTGCAGGCTAGAAACGTTATTCGTTGTTTCTCCGGCTTTCTTCCCGGGGCAGATTTTTCAAATGATGCAGAATAGGTTTTCTCTGGTAACATTTTCCAATAAAGGCCACTTTCATCTGCGTTGTAAATTTGTTCCATTCTTAAATCTAGCTCGGTAATTGTTTTCATAAATTTTTCTTTGAATGGTTGCACTAATTGCGGTTGTGCTGATAATTTTTCACCAGATATAGACAGCAGTCGAATTCCATATCTTGTTTTGAATCGTTGTAGCCAGCCATCACTAGCTACGAAATTTTCAGTTTCTTTCAGTTTTTCATTTAACAGTCTCGCTCTCTGTTTAAGTACTTCGCCACTAACTGGGACATGATTTTCCCGTTGTTTTAAAAACCACTTATAAAGGGAATTTTCCATTTTAGGTGCCTTCGCATTTTTTTAAGTTTTTCTTTTTCCCGGACCTCCAAATGTATTGCACGTTCTTTGTAAAATTTGAGTTTTCATACGCTTAATTTCACAGATTGTTGCTTTCGATACTCCATATTTTTTTGCTAACTGTGTCACTCCCGCACCTAGTGCATCTTCGTCTATGATTTTCACTTTCTCACTCAACTTTAAACACTTTCTTTTATAGGATGTGGATGCCATAGTCGTAAAATATATTAACGCGTGCAATGTATTCACTTAAGTTCAAAAATGAAATACATACGATAAACGATCATACGACTGACCGAGTTTGTCGAATTTTATCGCAGAGGTGAATCCCCTACACTCTACATCATAAATCGGGGACTCCCCCCGACGCCCGACATAAATCATCGCGGCTTCAGCATTTTACCGTCGCGCTGTTTCCGTGCGCCGAGAGTTGTTTACGTTATCGAGCGTACACATTGTTTAAGTTATCGCGCGTTCCGTTTGATCCTATAGAACGAAGTTTGTGTTTACATTAGCGCAAGTTTTCATTATCCCGTGTTTACGTTATCGAGCGTCTGCTGTATTTAGTTTTTTGATAACCTGTAAAATTAAATAAACGATTTTTTACACTAGTTAAAAAAGTTCCCATAACTCGATATCACACAAATTTAAGCGAATGCTACAAATCGGACCCGAATATTGTCAATTTCACATTAAAAAACCTAAAACTTGCAACCTACCATAATAATAGTTCTCCAACGGCACCATCTGCTCGGGAACATCCGGCGACGTAGATTTCGGCGGCCTGTTGAGCTCCTGGGTTTGTTGCGTGTCCGCGTTGGGCTTCGGCCGGCCCGCTCTTGCTTTCTTGGGGGCGCTCGGACCGTCCGAGACTGCTGGAGACGCGGCGGATGACGCGTTGCCGCGCGATGCAGGCGCAGAAGACGCCGCGGCGGCCGGTGCGGAGGCGGCGGCGCCTGATACCGGTATCGCCCAGTTCTTGAACGGGTTCTGGGCTACTTTGTTCAGGCGGACGATCAGGGACATGCCGCTGTCGTGCCTTAAAAAAAAAAAAAAAGGAACAGAGAATAAAGAGAGCACTCTTTTGATAATGAATAGAGCTTTGTTTCCAAGGACTATGTAGTATAGGAAACGGGCTAAAAAAGTATACAAATAGAATCATACTATGCAGGGTATCCAAGACAATGATCTTATGAGTATATTTGTGTGAGATACAGCTTCATGGCTTAATAAGGTATTTGGGAGAATCAAAAATTTGGCTAAAGCGTTTTTATTTTGTACTGACTTCATTTTAAGAAATATCAAAAAACTACTGCAACTTTTCCACCAGCCTTTTTAGGCACTACATATTTTAATTCTCCTTCAAAAATAATTTGGTCCAACGAGAACATGGTTACTAACAATGGTATCTTTAATCAGTGCAACACTCATTACTTGGCTCAAGAAAATCTGCGGGCTAAAAAAGTATCCAGACATCGATCACGTTTTGGGTTTAATATGTGGTGTGGAATCCTGGGGACCAAAATATTAGCTCCATTTATTTACTACAACTCATTAACTGCAAAACGGTACCTTCAATTGTTGCAACATCATCTAGAAGACTGCCTTGAAAATTTTCCTTTGGCACTGATTGATAGCTGTAGGTTAGAACAAGACAGTGCTCCTGCACATAACTCAATTTCGAGAGAATCTTTCTCAGCGATTTACCGAAGGTGGGTTTGAACCTCCAGTGGATATTTAAGTGACGTTTCGTTTTAGAGAGCAGACAAGAACTTGGGACTATGCCACACACCTAAGTTTTTGACCAGTCTAACTTTTGATACTTTGAATCTACGAGGGTGGCCCCAGAAGTACCCGTCCTGACCTAGAGATGGTGATATTTGTTTGAAAAATATCATTATACTAGAAAGTATGCAACCTATAAAGCATATGTGTCAAGTTTGAAGACGCCACGTTGTTTAGTATTTGTTTGTCAGAAATCAATACTGAACGTTTTGAATGAATTTGTAAAAATGGAGAAAATTGGTCATCGGTATGTGGTACAATACTTTTATTTCAAAGGACTCAGTCCAACCAATATAAAAGCTGAACTGGATTCTACTCTGGGTGAGTCTGCTCCTTCGTTTACAACAGTAAAATATTCGGTAGCAGAGTTTAAACGAGGCCGTACGAGCTGCCAAGACGGGCATCGCAGTGGTCGACCAAATGAGGTGACAACTCCAGAAATGGTGAAGAAAATTCACAAAGCGGTACTGAATGATCGTCGACTGAAAGTGCGCGAGCTAGCGGACATAGTAGGCATTTCAAAAAGTACGGTTCATCGCATATTATCTGAAAATTTCGACATGAGAAAGCTGTGTGCAAGATGGGTGCCGCGATTGCTTACAATCGAGCAAAAACAGTGTCGTGAAGATGTTTCAATTGAATGTTTAGCGAAGTTTCACAGCAACAAAGCAGAATTTTTGCGTCGTTTTATAACCATGGATGAAACATGGGTCCATCACTTCACACCTGAGACAAAAGAACAATCAAAACAATGGACTCAAAAGGGACAACTGGCTCCAAAGAAGGCGAAGACCGTTTCATCTGCAGGCAAGGTTATGGCGTCGGTTTTTTGGGGTGCGCGTGGGATAATTTTCATTGAATGTCTTGAAAAAGGTAAAACTATCAACGGCGAGTAATATGCGAACTTATTGCAACGTTTGAGAGACGAAATCAAGCAAATACGGCCGCATTTGGTTAAAAAGAAAGTGTTGTTTCATCAAGACAATGCACCAGGTCACAAATCCGTTATTGCAATGGCCAAAATTAACGAATTAAAGTTTGAATTGCTATTATTTTCTGTTTCCAAACTTGAAAAAATGGCTCAGTGGTCAAAGATTTTCCAACGATGAAGAGTGCTGTCGGCAGTTAATGGCTATTTTGAGCAGTAAGACAGTTCTTATTATAAAAAGGGTATCGAACTTATTGAACATCGCTGGAAAGGTGTACAGAGCTCAAAGGAGATTATGTTGAAAAATAAATACATTTTTTTACAAAAATTTTGTGTTTTCTTCGTTGGGTCGGGTACTTCTGGGACCACCCTAGTGAATAAATCTTCATATTCTTAATGTATGTTACAAGATGTACGAATATGATGTTTTGAAAATAACGGAATTCACATACCTGGTTTGTTCAGACAAGTGTTGGACTAGATGATTAAATGCCTGCAGAGCATTAGTGCCATACCATTCACGCCAAACCAGCTCATCCAGGAACTGAAATAGAAATTACATGACGCTACAAAATAGATAAACACACAACAGATAAGCACTTCAAAATTGTCTATAGCGGCGTCTATCAGAACAAAGTGCTACTCAAGCGATTACCTAACGCAATCACATGTTTCACAGACAAAACATCAGTAAACTCGTTTTTTATCCGCAAGGCTATCAATCCTGATGAACGTAGCCTGAAAAATATACTGCAACATTGATTAATGTATTCCACCTGCAATTGGCTAATATAATAGTTTCGCGCGTTCTCAATTACGTGTTAAAGTCATGCACGACATCTCACCCACGTCACGGTTCTTGTTCATTTCACAATAACCCTACATCCCTAAAGGCCAGACAGAAAAAAGACCATTAATATTAGAAAAACCCACTAGGCTTCAAATCTATCCCAGATGCTTACAAATGTTGAAATGTTCGCAAAATGATTTGATATGTGTTATTGTTACGTCAGCACTGTCTATGAAATATACTGAATGACAAAAAAAGGTAAACACCTACAGTAATGGACAAAAGTATATAAACAAATATGAATATTTACTTAATACCTTTAGAAAACGAATTCATACTTCATTGCTCCATAAACAAATGCGTTATTATTAGAAAAACTAAATTCCTTGTTTTTACATTATCTGCAACGAACACAATACAAATCTGAATATAAGCACTTTTTTATGAGGGACAAAAATATGTAGACAAATTCTTTTCAACATTAGTTTAGTACAGTTTCGCGTCAGAAGAGGATTAGTTTGTGTTCATCAAGTATTGTGGAATAAGTTGAGTGATTTTAAGACCATGCCGCGTGGTCCAGAAATTGCTTTCGACGTGAAAACTAAGATCATTGAGTTATACAAAGATGGTCAAGGTGACTTACTATATGAAAATCAGTTTCCAGGGGGAAATGTTGCATACACTTTCAAAATTTCACAGCGTATCATTGAATTATCTAAGAAAAAAGTAAACAGTTTAAAATCAAATAACAACTGTGCCGAAATCACTACTAAAAACGTGCTGAAAAACTGTTTCGGAATTTTGGGATATCCTGTATTAAATTGGATCAATTGTTCACTGAGAAGCAGTTCTTTTCCTGAAAATTTGAAATGCTCTACAATAACACCAGTTCCCAAAATAAAAAATTCTAAAAGATGCAGCAATATGAGACCAGTAAATGTGTTACCAGACATTGAAAAATTATTAGAGTCCATAGTGCATGACCAATTAATGCAGTTTATAGAAGAAAACAAAATTTTAGTGGAGGCGCAAGCAGGCTTTCGAAAAAAATATTCCACAGAAACAGCTTTCCAGTTGGTAACAGAATTGGAGAAGAGCCATAGACTCAGAAGAAGTTGTCATAGCAGTATTTTTGGATTTGAAGAGGGCATTTGAAACGACTGATAGAGATATTTTGTTAGGAAAATTGAAGGCATATGGTATAACAGGAAGTGTTTTAGATTGGTTCAGAAATTATTTGTCTAAAAGGATGCAAGTTACAAAAGTTAATGACACTATTTCATCAAAAATTGAAAATACGTTGGGTGTTCCACAGGGCAGTATCCTGGGACCACTTCTTTTTATTTTATACATAAATGATTTACCTGCCATAGTCAAAAAATGCAAAATTCAGATTTTCGCCGATGACACTATGATTTATATAAGTACTAAAAATATTCAGTCTGGTATCTCTTATATAAATGAAGACTTGAAGCTTGTCTCAAAATGGTTAGCATCTAACAGACTAAAATTAAATGCAAGTAAAACGAAAGCCTTGTTAATCGGAAAAAAACAATGTACAAATGTTCAACTGAATATTGATGGTGAAGATATTGAATTCGTAGAAAATTTTAAATACCTGGGGGTTTTTGTTGACTCTCGATTAATTTTTGATATTCATTATGAAAAAGTTATAAATAAGATTAGTAGTAAAGTGGGATATTTATCGAGAGTTTCTGGATGTCTGAGTTCATATAGCAGAAAAATTATCTATAATACCATCATTCTTCCAAATTTCTTGTACTATGTGTTCTATTCTATATTTAGCAAATAATTCCATTTTTGAAAGACTGCAAATTTTACAAAATAAGTGCATGAGAATAACACTAAATAAAGATAAATATACTCCAATTAGGCAAATGCTTAGCAAATTAAAATGGCTCAATGTAAAAAATTTTATCAAATATCTTGTAATGATATTCATTTATAAAGTAAAAAATAATATATTTCCATCAAGTCTAACTAATTTAACATCATCAAATGTCGACCATCATTTACATAATACCAGAAATAAAGATGACTTCCATTTAATGATCAAAAAGTATAACATATGCTCCAAATCTGTATTCCATCAAGGGTTGATTGAATATAATAAATTATACTCGGAGATAAAAGACCAGAAAACTTTGACAAAATTTAAAGTAAAATTGAGAAATCACTTGTTAAATCTACAATTATAGGTTGCCCAGCATTTACATCATACACCATATGGCTTGAATTTACTAGTTCTAAGTTGTTTACAATTATTCTGTTTATGTAGCCAAATGTGCTAAATAAATCTTTCTACTACTACTACTACTAAAGTCGACATTGCCAAAAATTTGAAGCTGAAGCGTAAAGCAGTTTGGGCAATATTGAACAAATGTAAACAAAAAGGTATCTTGGAAGCCTCTAAGAGAAGTGGTCGGTCTAGAAGACTAAATGCTAGATCAGTTAGAATAATAAAAGTAATTTCGTCCAAACATTCGTTTAAAACCCCAAGACAAATAAAAGTCGAAATCGAGACAAAAGGAATTGTCAGTGTTTCTACGAAAACTATAAGTAGAAGATTAAATGATTTGAAGTTATTTGCACGTCGCCCGAGAATGAAGCCGCTAATCACGAGGAAAAACCGTAAGGACCGATTACAATTTGCACGGTTGCATCTTGATTGGAGGATCTGTGACTGGAAGAGGGTATGTTTCAGTGACGAATCCAAGTTATGTGTGGATCAGATGGTGTTCATTACGTTAGACGTCCTAGTGGACAAAGATTGAACCCCAAGTACACTTTGCCCACTGTCAAACATGGAGGCGGGTCGGTTATGGTTTGGGGGTGCTTTTCGGAGTTTGGGATGGGACCTTTACATAGAATAGATGGCATTATGGATAAGTTTGTATACACAAACATACTAAAGCATGTCATGTTACCCTATATGGAAGGCCCCTTAAGATAAATCTTCCAGCAAGATAATGACCAGAAGCACACTTCAAATCTCGCAAAGAAATTCTTTCTGGATGAAAAAATACCAGTTGTCAAATGGCCTTCACAGTCTCCCGATATAAACCCCATTGAAAATCTACGGGAATACTTAGATAAGCACATACGAGATGAAAATTATTCGAACAAGGATGAACTTTTTGCCGCTTTAGAGCCAAAGTGGAGATAGATTGATGCATCTTATATCAAGAAACTTCTACAATCTATGCCGAGACGATGCCAGGCGGTGATTGATAATAATGCTTATGCTACAAAATATTAACACAAAAATGGTTGGTTTTCTGTAATTCAATGAACTTTGCTTCTTTTTTTTATACTTGTTTTGCTTTGTCTATATATTTTTGTCCTTCATAGTTCCAGTTTTTTCAATTAATTTTTTATTGAAGGGAGTCTAATGAATTTTTTTATGTTTATATTTGTTTATGGAGCAATGAAGTATGAATTCGTTTTCTAAAGGTATTTAGGTAAATATTCATATTTGTCTATATACTTTTGTCCATTACTGTATATAAAAATCAGCCATCAGAATTCAGTAAAGTGAGTCTTATTTTTATCATTAACGTGGTCCACCTATTTTGACCTTTCTCATCTGGAACCACCAAATCGAACCGCTACCCAACTTAGCGGATATGCAGGCGTTGAAAGTATGTAGAAACTTTATTCTGTACCCGTTTCATCTTCGAGAAAATTAGTAATGTCTGGCAAGTACAAAAGGCAAACACTGATATGATACATTGTGAAGATGTAACATTTTGTCCGTCGCTGAGAACTTCTTAAGAGTATGAAACCCTAAGACTTACGGGATATAACCTTTTTCAGGTTAGTATTACGTTCAGAAATGTACAATTCTTGTTTTAAAGGAAAATGCAGTATATTTTTATTCATTCAAACGACACTACTCCGATCCCATTTGGCAACATCGCTGTTAGAGATCAATCTGTCAGTTTTCTAATCAAGTTGTCTACCTTCAGGTGAAATAGATTAATGAAAGACTGCACTCACCTGTTGAATAATCTGTCTGGAGAGCAGCGACAACGTGTTCTGGAACATTCTAGGCACGATCCTCCGCAGATAATCCATGATGGCCCGATTGTTACCATATTCGCTGGACGAGTTCTGCACCACGTTCTGGAAGCCCATGTTGTGCAGAGTCTGTTTGTCCACGGTGAGATCAGCGACAAGGATGCTCTGAGGATGCACCCATTGGAATACGGGTTCCAGGATCTTCGAAAAACGTTTTTTGTAGTTTCGGTCGCCGTCTACTTGCGGTTCTACTGCTCTCAACCTATGAATAGTTGCCATAGAGGGAACGTCACAACATAATAAAAAAAACCGAAGAAAATTGTCCAAACCCAGTACTTATCTATAACATTAACCAAAACAATAAAAACTTCTCATGTCATAGGTAAGTTTTGGGAGTATACAAACAAAAACTGCGTATTTGGGTACAATTGCAAAATTGTATTACCTGATCAATTTAGTAGCCGTCTCTAACACACCCAGAACTTCAACTTTGACCTGTCGTTGGTTTCCGTCTTGTGACGTGGTACCCAATGAAATCACACCGATTTCTACCTTGATTCCAGGTCCCCCAATTTTTCTTAAATGGCTCTGTAGCCCAACTGTGCATACCGCACGTAGCCACGTGTACATTCCTTTAACGTACAGGTTGTCTACTTTCACCTATATAAAGAAGAACAACGGTTATGAATCATGAATAATGCTATCATATTAACAGTGTGTAGTGTAAATCGCAAAAAAATGAAAAATGGAAACTATTATTTTACTATCATTCAAAGAGATATAGGAAATTCCAACGATCATAAAATTAGAAAGGTCCTTAAGTCATTCCTCCGGTGTTAAATATGGTGTTGACACAGCTTGCGGTTCTAACGCAGTACCAGAAATGCTCCATTATGTCAAACTTCATACAATACTTCAAATAGTATATGTATTTAAGATCATGCAGCACTGCTCATTGACAAAAAATGAAACCTCCCTGGAAAACCCCACTGCAGACAACATACTTACCCATTGTGTAACATTTTGAATGTTGGTTTGACATGACCAATGGTAGAGTAACTTCAGTATGACCATAGGCGGATGAGGGGATCCTTCAAACAAGGACCCGCTGAAGACGGAGACAAAACGTTGTGGACAACATTCTGAAATCCACACGTAACCTCCGGAGTACGGAAATTTCGATACGTCACTGTACATGCCTAACTTCAACTGGTTATTCGTGTGTACAGAACATTTCTGTTCAGATTTCACTAGGCCTTGTTGGATCAACCTGAAATATGATTTTAATGGTTGGAGGCGATTTCAAAATGTCACTATCACAGAGCGTTTACAACCATGAAGCAACTCCACTGTCTGCAGAGCAAATACGTCAAATCTTGTATAATTTTTACAAAGTTCTATTACAGAAGAAGAATTGGACTGACATAATGGGGAATCTTCCACCCAGACAAAATCGCATTTTTAATAGGTGGAATACGAGGGATGTCTTTTAAGTTTTGCATATAGAAACATAGTAGGCCGCGCGGATCGAACGTCAGTACTGAATCTTAACCTCACTCTTTAGTAAACTTAAATAATTCAAAGTTTCACAACAGTACGTGCAGTGTTCTCACACTTTAAGTGTCACCAAGTCATTAGAAAAATGAAACTCAACCGAGAACATTTTCGCGCCATAATTTATTACAACTTTCAGAGACAATTATCGCAACAAGAATGGTCTGTTTTCGGCAACGAAGCGTCACATCAGTCGACAATTTCCCGTTGGTATGGAGAATTCAAACGTGGACGGGTGAGTCTTAGGCCCGTATCATCAGTCGTCCCTACAATTGTAGGGCGCGTTTATGGCATCCTTGATTGTCATACTCCTTTCTCTCCTTAAAAAATTTCTAGATTACACTTGTCCCGTGTCAGCGTCAGCGCTCTCCTATTGTAAAGATATGTTGTCTTTTTATATATATATATATATATATATATATATATATATATATATATATTTGTAGGAAATTTCAGGCTGATAAAACACGATATAACTCAAAAGCAAGCACAATTTGATGCAAATAGATGTTTGTGACATAACCTCAAAATAGAGCGCTGACACGTAGAAGTAGAAAACTATGACAATCAAGGAGGCCATAAAGGCGCCCTACAATTGTAGGGACGACTGACGATACAGGCCTTAGCGACGATCCCAGGGTGGGTGCACCAAAAACGGCAGTCACCCAGGAAAACGTCGATGCTGTGTGCAAATTCATCATTGAAGATAGACGAGTGACATAACGCGAGATTAAGGCGTCCTTGAAGATCTCAAAGACTTCAATTCAAAAAATTTTACATGAAGAATTAGGAGTAAGAAAATTAGTTTCTCGTTGGATACCCCAACTGTTGACTGAAGAGCAGAAAGTAGCCAGGGTTAATTGGTGTCAAAAAACGCTTGACCGTTTGAATTCCGAAAACTCAAAAAATGTGTACAGCATTGTTAGTGGTGATGTATCGTGGATTTACTGTTATGAACCAGAAATGAAACGACAGTCGGCTGTTTGGGTGTTCCAAGGTGAAGAAAAGCCAACAAAAGTCATCCGTTCTCGAAGTGTTTCGAAAAAGATGGTCGCGACATTTGTGTCAAAAGCGGGTCATATTGCCACAATTCCGCTTAATGAGCAAAGAACTGTTACTGCGGATTGGTATACCACGATTATTTGTTTGCCAAAAGTCGTCACCGAGCTTCGAAAAATCAACCCCGAAAGAAGAATCATCCTCCACCGAGACAATGCAAGCTCGCGCACAGCCCAAAAAACAACGCCTTATTTAATGGAAGAAAACGTGGAATAATTGGATCATCCTCCATATAGTCCCGATCTAAGTCCTAACGATTTCTTTACTTTCCCGAAAATTAAAAACAGACTGCGTGGTCAAAGGTTCCAGTCACCAGAAGAAGCAGTTGACGAATTCAAAAATGCCGTTTTGGATATGCCAGCAAACGAGTGGAATAAGTGCTTCGAAAATTGGTTAGAGCGCATGCAGATGTGTATTAATCTTCGTGGAGAATACTTCGAAAAACAATAAAGTCATTTACAACTACCTACCGTGTTGTTTTATTTCCATATGCAAAACTTAAAAGACAAAACTCTTTGCATCGATGCTTCAAGCAGGATGAAGTTTATTCTAGTTTTCTCATTCACGTATTAAAAAACGTATTTGAACCTTGTTCAATATAATAGGATTTAAATTTTACTGCATTGAGATAAAATGTCATATGTTTCATGTCAATCTATCAATTCTCTAAAACTAATCACATGTGACGAAACTACCACAGCAGAAATAGAGTCACAGTCCAAGGATAGGACATGAAAAATGTCGCTAGAACTTATTACGTCCCAGCTTTATCGCGAAATTGTAAGTTTGCAATTTGGAGATGAAATTTTGCGACTTATCACTTCATATTGTTCATTTAAAAAAGCAAAAAAATAATATTTCGACGAAATACATTTTTTACGTATCTCATTCTGGAAGGCTGAAATTTTCAAAAATGGCATCAGGTACGTTAATTATGTACGTACTCCCAATGCAATACTAGTAACCTGGAAATATGTAGTCTAGCTGGCTAGACATGTCTTAAACAGTTTTTAGAAATGCATATCAAATCCGAAAATACTATTTTTGAGATCCAACGAAGATCTTCATTTTTAAATTAATGCTAATGTCACTGCCATATTCTAAATTAATCTGTTAGATGCCATTCTTTCAACTAAACTCCAAAGATTGAAAAACATACAGAAATAATATTTCACGCCTAATCTTCAAACAATAAAATTATATTATATTACGAACAAATGACCAAAGATGACTTCGGTAATTGCGATAAAATTGTACTTTTTTTATATATCTTTACACACCACGAAAAACATCTGAAACAAATCCTGTGGATTTCATGCTGATAAAACTCCAAATGGCCAAATGAAACCGCATATGTTAAAATTACTCTTTACTGACGTTTTGGTTACAAGGTGGTCTTTTTAGAAATACAGGGTGACTTTGAAGTTGAGTCATTAATTTTCAGATAATGATTGTAGAAGGAAGATAAACCAAAATATGTGTGTAAAAATAAAAAAAAAAATTAAAAAAAATTTTTACCTTGTTTTATAAAGTATCCTCCCGACAAGTATTTCAGTGCGGACCTGTATTCGATCGTGAGGTCTTGGAGCACCGGCATGCCGTCCATATGTGAGGTCTTAAGTCAAATGATTCACGAACCCGTTGTGCTACATTAACAAAGGCACGAGGGGTTGGTTGCACTCGATTGGGAAACCGATCCGCATAAACATGTGCCATTTTTTATTTCCTTTGAGCCACGCAACAGACACCACTATCCACTACCGACTGACACTGACTGTATACAACTGAATGAAATAATTGTAAAAACATCGTTCCAAATTCTTTCGCTTTTTTGTTTCCGATGCGATGAACCGATAAGGCGAATTATATCCGTTGTCGCCAAACACGAACACATAATATTATTATTTAGACAGGGCGGTACTCAAACTTCCAAAGGGCTATAACTTTGTTACTTTAATTTTACCAGAAAAATGGTAAAGGAAAAAAACATTTCTTTTGATCAGATCTACTCACTGTTAAAATAAATGACTCAACTTCGAAGTCAAGTATATGTAGATCAATGACGAAAACCTATATTTCTATCAGTCTGTCAGAAGGATGAACTTTTGAATCGGTTCAGTGGCGGCATGGGAAATACAGAGCAAAGATTTTTTTAGTTTCTACCTACTCTACAAGTTTTAATCAAACATAACATGAAAACTGAATATTGAATAGGTAAAGAAATTTACAGATAACGCTTACCATTCTGTGAATTTAGTAGGCGGATGCATGAGTACACTCTTAACCTTGGCATCCAATTTTGGTCTTTCAGCCTGCATATCTACGGTAGCCCTAAGATGTGGCCTAGCTACCACCACCAGCGAAGGGTACGTTTTGCCCTGTAGCTTGTTGAACGATATCTCTCTGCTGTCCGGTGCATTGGCGCGACCGTCTTCTGCCGTCAAATCGACTACCACCTGCGCAAAGTAGAAAATTAAAATTGAATTTTATGTTTATAATTTGATATTTCAACTAGGGATCGGCCGACGTGTATATCGACAATATCGGCCTAATTGGCTCATACACAAATAGGCCAATAGATACGAGGTCTGTAAATTAAGTGATGAGACTGATTAACCGACGATATAAACGCATAAGATCCAGGCTTCTATCGATATTTTCGTCGGTTCTTGTAGATGATTGCTTCCCGCTCGTGGTTCATCATTAATCGTCTCTCTTCCTTCTGAAAATGCCTTAAAAAACCACCTCAAAAACCTGGGCTCTTGACAAAACACTACATCCGTAGGCTTGTATAGCAAGAGTTTCCATTGCACTGTGCCCAAGTCTAAAGAAAAACTTTTTTTCTCTTCTCGAAGGTGAAAAATCACTTCAAGGTAACTGATTTTGGGACAGTCGAAAACATTCAAACGGCTACTTGAGACGGGTGCTCGTTGTGAGACATACGAAGCTCGCATTTCGCAAATCTTCAACGTCCTAACAGAATGAATCGTACTCACGTTTCCTCTGGTCTTCTTTCCTGGCGTAGTGTTAGTGCCGGTCATCAAACCTCCTTCTACGTTGTTTTCTGAAGGTCGGGCATTCGCGTAGCTCGCTGCTGCGGCTGCCTGTCCCCTTTGCGGTCTGGACGGTGGGGTCGGCACCACTGGTTGTTGCACTTGCTATAGAGACACATCTTTTATCGATTGAATGGTACAGGCAGCTTGTTTGAAAAACAGTACATGTTCGACTTGATGTGATTTTGCTCCTAAGCTACGGGGCGACTTGCAAAGTACTGCTTGGCTTTGGATGAAATGTTTACACAAAATTACTACTATGCCATTGACGAAAAAGCTTAGTAGTTTTTATAAATCGGTCCAGTGGCGGCGAGGAAAAGGACCGAAAACGATAAATATAAAAATCGATCTGACGTTTTTTGTTGAAACATCAAAAATTAAGGGTGAAGGGGATGGGAGGTTTTAAGAGGTGGTGGAGGGTATATCTCAATTTTTTATATAAGTAAATTTATACGCTCCCAATCCCGGTAATTCTACGCACCTATTTGTCATATTTCAAACATTATAGGTATCCCCATACATTTGTCGGTGAGTCCTTGAGCGCTGCCACGTCTGACTATATGGGAAAGGGCCTTTATTAACTGATGGCGGTGCATAGGGAGTGCAGAGTCAACCTACTTGACGCCGTTTTTTTTGAGATGTAGCAGTTTTAACTTTTCAATCCAGGCATAAGTGAGGAAAACATACATTCTTAAATTTCAGGCATTTTTTTCAATGTTTCATTAAAAAAAAAGTGAGTCTGGATAATATCTATGCCCAGAGAGAGGTCATGGTATTATTGATACAAAAAAGTCACTGTTAATATGAAAAGCCAACATATTGAAATGAACTTACAAATTTTGACGATATATGTACGTATACTATACTAATAATCGCGATTTTTACAACATACTCAACTGTTTCAATGGAATCACTTACCATTCTGGTGGACCTGGTAGGCGTAACCTGGGGCGGCTTGTTCTGCACTACCTGCCTGACAGGCGCCGGAGGTGTTGGAGGCGGTGTCCCAGCTCCTCCCTTGCCTCCGCGCCGGGTGCGCATAGTTCTGCCCGCCACCGACTGGATGTTCGGCGTCGAAGGAAGAGACTTGGGCTCCGTCAGATTCTGAGCAATCTGAAATATAGGATATATTGAAGATAAAATAACATCAGCATTTCCTTTCTTTCTTCTTGCTTTATTTCATACTTACTTTGACTAAACCCAACAGATATAATGACCTACAAAATCTTCAACCATTCTGACAGACGATGCACTATTTTCGTCTCTCTATAGTCTTTAACAGGGTAACAAGAAAACAACACGTTTGAGAGTAAATATACCTATTGATATTTGATGATGACTGAATTACAGGGTATGTTAAGCAACATTTAAAAAAACGATTGTCCTGACACTTTTTTAAGGCGTTACTGTGACCAATGACGCAAAATATTCTTTTCGTCGTTATCTATTAGAGCAGTCCGTAGGGACTCGGGTATAGCTGAAAGGGGTAGGTATGTCTGGTCTAGGCTGCGATCGATTGTTAGAGTGCATTTCATTTCGTACTATTTTTTTGACGTACGTGTTCCAGGCTTTCGGACATAGAACAAAGTACTTCTGGTACGTCAAAAATGCGCTTTTTTATTCTTGCGCTAAGCTTTTAGAATAACAGTGTTATTACTTCTCATTGTTTGCTTTATTTAAAGTGCTGAAAATTTTCTGAGTATATATTTTTTAAGATAAATTGGCTACCTCGTATCCATAACTTTAACTGTCACCAACTGGCATTATATGACTCTTAATAATTTGGGCGTTCTAAAAATTAAGTTTCACAATATTTCCGACTAAAATTTCATCTGTCAATCTACATTTCATTACTGTGTACGGTATTAAATACCAGGTCATTTACAAATTCACCCCTGGTTGTCCAAACACCAAAAGTCAGAGGAAAGTTGATCTACGCTGTATTTAAATCTCATTTACCACCCATCAAAGCAAACAACAGCGCACAATGTCCCAATTCGCGTGCTCCTATTGGCCAGCGGGACATAAATTCCTGAACAAACAAGCGATAAGAAGTGGTGATCGAGTGATTGTGTTTATTTTGACGTGGAGTAAATGATGTTTGAATAAGGTATAGAAAATTAATATGTTAAAATGATTCTACCTTATGTTTGTCTAAAATTGCCACAAGACGTTGGTTACAGCAGGTTACACTTCAAGGACGTGTTTTTGACACAATTTTGACAGAAATGTCACCCAAAAATACATGTTGACGATCATGTAATCAAGGGCACACACATGCACAGGGTGTTTGTTCCTTACTTCAATCGTTTTTCTTTCAAATGAAAAATCATTATACAGGTTTGAACTCTTTTGCATTCAAATTTTTCTAGGCATGGACATTTTATTGTGATTCATCATTAAATCAGATAAGTATTCCGAAAACATTTGAAGTTTGAATAGTTCGACAATGACCATTAGAGGACAAGAAATGATTCTTATGTTGTAGGTATGTGCATTCCTAAATACAATGCGGGAGCTAAAAATAGACCAATATGAAAATCCTGGAGGAAAACTTGATATTTCAGCTACAGACGAAAATAATCGATTTTTTCGTTGAATGATGTGCATGTGTCTGGTAAGGGCTTCAAAAAACATCAGATATTTGATACATAAACATGTTTCCAATATTTATCCTCCAACTCACTCCACTCTCGGAATGTCCGGGTGGAGGGTGGGCTCGAGGGAACAACATCGAAGATAAAATTTGTTTTTCGAACATCTGCGGGATCAACAGCAACATCGATGCTGTTCATCACTACCTGCAATCCAATCGTCCCGCCGTGCTTTTCTTGGCTGAGACAAAAATCTCAGAGACTGCACCGATTAACCATTTCAACTTCCCAAACTACGAGGTGCACTCCAATCTGAGAAAGAACGGGGGAGTTGTGGCTTTTGTCCGCAGCAGTCTTTCCTGCTCCAGGGATCTTTCTTTGGAATCAGACCGGAAGGACATTCTGTGGCTTCGCCTCAGCTCCAAAACATCACCCAAATTTATTTGCTGCCTTTATCGCTCTCCCTCGAACCATAACTGGTGTGACCTACTCGAATACCTCGCCGTCCAGATCGACTTCCTGAACATCAATCACCCCGCTTCAGAGGTAGTTCTTCTAGGTGATTTCAATGCCCATAATGAGCTTTGGTTGGGCTCAAATAAGACCGATGCAGCAGGTCGTGCAGTCGAAGCGTTCGCTCTTTCTCAAGGGCTGACCCAGCTGGTCACGAGCCCTACTTTTTTCCCCCGCGTCTCGTCACACGCCAGTAGCCTGCTGGATCTCTTTCTGACCACGCATCCTGCCCCTTACAGCACTGCTGTCCTGTCCCCCCTGGATAACTTAGATCACGGTGTTGTGGAGGTTAGGTTTCGGTCAGAAGCCGCTGTGGCAGCAGAAACTCGCACAGGCCGCAAAACTTGGCATTACGGACATGCCGACTGGGAGGGGCTCAGAGATTTCTTCTCTAGCTTTCCTTGGAGAGATGTCTGTTTCACTGACGCGGATGCGTCGACTGTCTGTTCTTCAATAACCGAAATTATCCACGTCGGAATGGAGGAATACATCCCTCACACAGTGAAAGAGCCTAAGCCAGGGTCCAGCGGCTGGTTCAACAAAATCGACACTGCTCGCCAGCAGAAGATCAAGGCCCACAGAACCTACTTACAAAACCCCACTGTAGAGAACAGACAAGCCGACGTCGAGTCCAGAAACAAATATAACGAAGCGGTTCGCAATGCCAAAAACCAGCATGATATAAAAGTTAGGCACAGGGTAATGTCGCAGCGCAATGGCAGTCGGTCTTTCTGGACGCTGGCCAAGCAGATTGAAAAGAACTTCTCACACAGTAGCCTTCCACCACTTACGTGTCAAGATGGAACTATTGTATTCGACTCAAAGGCCAAGGCGGAAGTGCTAGCTAAGATCTTTGCTGCCAACTCCACCATGGACGTCCCCACCCACGCCCAAGTGCCGTCAATTCAACGGGTTCCCCACACTATGCGGGAGGTAACATTCAGGCATAAGACCGTAAGACGAGTGCTCTTGTCGCTCGACATCAACAAAGCTTCTGGTCCGGACTTGATTCCTGCCATTGTACTGAAGAGATGTGCAGCGGAGCTTGCTCCAGTTCTTTCGCGTCTCTTCCAGATATCTTATGAATCCGGCACCTTCCCAGAAAACTGGAAATTTGCTCATGTACAGCCCATCCCAAAAAAAGGATCTAAAACCGACCCTTACAACTACAGGCCTATAGCTCTGCTTTCTGTTATAAGTAAAGTGATGGAGAGGTGCATAAATCGCGAGCTTCTGGACTACCTCGAACGTCACAGCTTGATTAGCGACAGGCAGTACGGTTTCCGGCACCAACGATCCACAGGGGACCTCCTAGCTTACGTCACGCAACTGTGGAGTAAACTCATCCAGTCTCATGGTGAGGCTCATGTCGTTGCTCTTGACATCACGAAAGCGTTCGATCAGCTGTGGCACGCTGCCCTCTTAAGCAAAATTCCATCCTATGGTCTCCCAGAAAAGCTTTGCAGATGGGTGGCTGACTTTATCTCTGGCCGCAAGATATCCGTCGTAATTGACGGATTCTCCTCTTCATCCCACAACGTCAACGCGGGTGTTCCCCAGGGATCGGTCTTGGCTCCAACACTGTTTCCCTTACATATCAACGACCTCCTTTCCTGCACGATCAACCCAATCCACAGCTTCGCTGATGACAGCACTCTACATGCAGGAATTCAGAGTGACAAGCCGATCTCTGCCACTGAGCTGGAAAAAAGAAGACTAGCGACGACTTCTTCTCTGACAAGAGACCTGGAGGCTATCACTGCTTGGGGACGCAACAATCTTGTACAGTTCAATGCTTCCAAAACACAGTACTGTACTTTGACGAACAAAAAGCGTCCTAGCGCTCATACAGTTTCGATGGACGGTCGAGTTCTACCAAAGAGCCATTCATTTCGGCTGGTCGGAGTCCAGATCACCGAGGACCTGATCTGGCACGAACACATCTCTTCAATAGCTGCAGCTGCTGGGAAAAAGCTAGGCTATTTGTTTAGGGCTAAGAAGTACTTTTCTCCGCATGACATTCTCACTCTATACAAGGCCCAGATAAGGCCTAGCCTCGAGTATTGCTCACACATTTGGGGTGCTGCCGCCCCGACTACATTGTCCATGCTCGATGCTGTCCAGAGGAGGGCGGTCCGACTGATCAATGACTCTTCCCTAACAGACAGTCTCGGGACCCTTTCGCACCGGCGGGCCGTCGGCGATCTAGCTCTTTTCTATCGCTACACCAACGGGCTTTGCTCCTCAGAGCTCTCTTCCATGATGCCGCCGCGCGATGTGCCTGCCAGACAGACCCGCCAGACTTCGGCGTCCCATCCTAACCGTGTCAAACTTCGTACATCCAGAACTGGCCGATACGACCGCTCCTTTGTCCCGAGGGTGTCTAGATTGGGGAACAATCTACGGGAGGAAGCTTTTCCCAGTTCTACTAACCTTAGGCAGTTCAAAAATCGTATTAACAAAATTTCTTTGGGATCATCATAGCAGCCGCGGTGTTCCGGCATTTAGGCTTCTGCCTGCGCGGCTGTTTCGACATAAAAAAAAAAAAAAAAATCCTGAAACTGAAAATCATTTCCACTCAAATAATTTTGTTGATTTGAGGATCAGTTCCGCTGCATATTATACGTCTTTCTGAAACGTCAATTTACTACAATTTTAGTCATGAATCGCTTTACACTGAAACAACGCGCCGAAATAGTCACAATGTACATTGAAAATCGTCGTATAGTTGAGTGCATATCGTCGAAAATGTCGTGGCAAACAGCCACCGTCTGACAACACTATCCGTCGTTTGTTTTCGAATTTTCTTAGTATGGGACAGTGGGAGATCGTCGACATACCGTTCATCAACGACCAAGATGTTCCAATGAATTGGTTGAAGCGGTCAGAGACAGCGTTGCCCAGAACCCAAGTGTCGTAGCGCCCCCTCGCTCAGCATTTTGGCATCAGTGGAACCACGTTGCGGCGAATTTTCGCATTTGTTTCCTTATAAGGTGCAGTTAACACAAAAAATATTGCCAACTGACCGTCCACGTCGCTTGGAACAGTCGCTCGTATGGTTGACGCTGAACCTGATTTTTGGAAGCAAATTGTGATGACCGACGAGGCTCATTTAGTTATTTCATGTTTACATACCGACATAAAAGATGACGCACCCTGTATATTTTTCCATTACAAACTTACCGTTACTTTTCCATGTAATGACTTGGGTGCAGGTGGAGTAGCAGGAGAAATAGCACCCACGCCAGGGGTGGCCACAGTTCCCAGAACAAGTCCCAGTCTGGGATCCATCACAAGCTGATATGGAGACCCCGTAGTGTTATTTAGAATTACGGGTGGTGGAGGAGGTGGTTTAGCTGCCGCTAAAAAAATATATAGAAATAGAACGTTTAATTTTTTTTTTCTCATTAAGAAATAGTGTTTTTTGTGTTGCTATCTAAAGTGCTATAATTAACCAGATTCAGAAATTAAAGTGCAAGTATTTTTGCATTGAAATTAAATACCTTGGCGTTAAGCACTTATGGGTTTTTTACATGAAAATTAATTTTATAAAAGATAATACAACAATGGAGAAGATTCGATATTTTGTGTTTGGTGTTAATTTAAAGGACTCTGTAGAATAAATCATAATCCAATAATTAAAACAGCAATTTATTCATCAGTTTGAAGTTTTCGGCGAAAGCAGATCTACGGTTATGATGCGGTCACTCCTGTTCCTCTATTAGCAGCAATACTTAAGAGGCCCAGTGCGCCGAATCTTAAAATACGGCACTCATTTATAGTGCTTGGAAGTTTCCACATACTATAGTTCACGAGTAATATGTTATTCAAACCACATATCTGTCACGCCAAAACAAAAAATTGTTCCATGATAACTATGCACTTCCCATGCAATGCTGTCAAAGTTTTATGTTCACCATTCTAAGCAAAAAATTATCTGAAAACATGTGTAACAATAAAATGTGATGGATCAAGTCAGTCAAACACCATACTACATACATGTGATCTAGAAATTTCTTTTACTCTTCACGCGTCTCCAAAATGGCTGAGACTTTGGTGAGTAACTGTCAACAGATGAACAACGAAATTCACTAACTTTTATTTACGAGCGCTGCCATCTTCACGTTGAGGTCGGAAACCGAAACGCAAAAAATTGAGATACGCCTGGAATCTCTAAAATGTCAAAAAACGAAGTATGAACGATTTTTACAAAGGGTCATCCATGTGTGGACGGAATATTACTCATGAACAAATACATTTTGAGAAAATCTATTTATGCCATGTTATACATGACATTTGAGGGCACATTCCTAAAATATTGGCAATTATACAGGGTGTCCCAAAGTTGTGATTTTTTAAATGGAATGCCTCAAATTTTATTGCATATTTGGATCTTATCTGTTACTTTTTCGAATTTTCATTTTTGCACATACAGGGTGGTCAAAAACGCGATCATTCGTAGATGTGAATTGTGTATTGAACACTTGGGTTTACATTTCGAGCAACTACTTTAGATTTGGTATGTTTGTCCTAACTATCCAATAGCATTTTAGTTGTAAATAATTAATTTAACTTGTTAAAAATAATATTGGAAAATTAAACAAATTAATATTCTGTTTTTTTGTGTTTATTTGGAGTTAGGAATTATTGCTGTGTTTAAAAACACAATCTAAACGATCATCTTAATTACTTGTAATGCCCAAATCGAAAATGTAAAAAAAATATTATTTTCCCATAAATAATTAAAAATGCATTGAACCTTAAAAATCGAAATATCTCAAAAACGACTAACTATAACGAAAACTCATAAGAGAGCTTTTTATGCAGAAAAGTGCGAAAAATCAGTTTTTCATTCAAAAAGCAAAAAATTTTCGGTCATTTTAATACACTACAGGTACTGTAAAGAGCGTCCTCTAGCGGCTACAGTAAAACTATGCCCATGGTTCGTTTTGTCGTACCAAAAAACCCTTGTATACCAATTTTCACTGTTATACATCAAATATTGTTCGAAATATTTAAAAAAAAAACTATTTTAGAAAGTAAATTTAAACACCCTGTATTTCGGAAGCCACGCATTTTTCAACTCATGTTTATATAGACTTTATGCATTAATTTTAAAACTTCTATCGAATCTTAAAGTTATGCAACAATAAACACCCTGTGTATAACAAATTTTTTATTTTTCTGTCTTTCAGCTATCTTACCTGTCAATACATTGTTGACCGTCTCCGTAATTTCAACGATCGTCGACAGATCCCCTTTGTGTACAACTTTAGCATGCGGGCTGTTTAACAGCTGCTTCAGTTTCTGCTCAATTTCTTTCTCTTCAGCCTGCCTCTTCTTTAATCTGTTCTGCTGAACTTCATCTAGTTGTTCCACCCAACAGTCCAGTTCTAACGTGTTTTCGGCGTTGCGGTTCGTTATTGTTTTCAGCACCAACACCTCTCGATCGGCTGTTACGTGAAAGGTAACGTTAAGCATTGCTTATAGATGTATCATGATAATGGCTTTACATTAAAATAGCCATAACAAATCAGAATAACTCTCAAACTCCTCACTTTTCTTGCCAGCAGCATTGGAGAAAATTGAAAATGAATTCAAGAAGGATAGAACTTACCATTTCCATCAGCTGACTTCCGATGGCTGATTTTGTATTTCTTTTTTGGTGGGGGAGGCGGAGATGGTTCTATAAGTTGTATCTAGAAAAAACACAAACGAATATACTCAAAAGGATGTAAAGATATTGCAAAAAAACTTCATCAAATAGGAGTCCAATTACAAAATATGATAGAAATATAAGCTGAAGCAGGTTGTCTGAGTCAAGCTTCCTAGAGGCCCACTGGAATTATTTTTTTCCTTAGAAACATACTTTGAAACATCCCAATTCTGCTATCAACAATGTAAATAATATAATCTTTTATCATCAAAATGTACATCACAAGCAACACACTATATAACAGAACACTTAAGCAACTTGACTTTTGCAAGAAAGCTAAATAATAATTCACTTACTGATGCTAGATACTATTGTGATGTCCACAGGTCAGTAGACATGAAAGAGATGAGAAGTAAAGTATTAAAACTGCTGGTCTACCAGATGTTAATTCAAAATACAAAAAATGTTATAGTTGATGCTTTTAAAAATATTAATTTCTAAACTGACACATATTCCATATGACAAAGGACAATTGCACCATGGTACTTACTAAGAGCAGTTCTTGAGCAATAAAAAATCTCAACATTATTGGTGACACCTCAATTGCATTTATGTCAAAAACTGATTGTCCAATCATGTTAAAATTGGCATATTCACCAACTCAAAATTCATATTGACAACTAAGCAAATATTTTAGAACATGAATACATACATCTTCATCAGGAATTTCTACAGCATCATCTTCATCATCCAATAGTAACTGCATCTGTTTCAAAGCTTCTTTACTAGCAGCCCTACGAGCATGAGTCCTTGGTGCAGGCATTACCTCCACTTTGGGAGCATACTGGGCTGGTGCCTTTTTAGGCATTTTCACCTGAAAAAATTATTTTAAATAAAAACAACAAAATACAGTTACAACATCCTTAGGTGCATGGTCAATATCAAGAGATTTGAATATTTTCAATGATTAATGATACTTTCTGAAATTTACATAAAGATCTTGACATTTACAACTTTACACTTTAGAACTGATGTCTTTCTTCTTCATAATGTATATGAAAGTCTTGTCTTTGATTTCCGAAAATTCTAGAATTGCCCATCAAATATCAATCGAAGTTTCCAATACAAAATTTCCAATCTCATATAGGTAAGGGTTAAATGACAACATTCTTTTATTTCTCCATCAATATTTTAAATGACATTTGGTAATGATCTAGATATTTATAATGTCATTATTTATGTAAAGGGAGAAAAGCTCAACAAGCAAATGTGGTGGTAATTTTTCAGTTTGATAGTAAATAAATATTTTATTTATACTGAATATCAAGATGGCAGTTGTCTGAATAAGACTGTCATAAGCTCATCTATAAAAAACATGTTCAAAGTTTACGTTGTTCCTCCTAACAATCAACAGATGGAACCAAAGTAGCAATTGAAAATCAGCAACATTTACTGCTAAGACATTTACTGCATTCAGCTAACATGCAGTATGCAAGTATCCAAAGTGAACAGTTAACTGGAAACTAGTTTCTTGACGGATCAAGCAAGGCTTCAAGGTTAGTACTGTTAATATCATGAAATGAATTGTATTCAAAACAAATCGAATTTATCAGACAAAGAATTTCTAACATGTACAAATCAGAATGTTCAATATACTGAGTAATATCCCCGCTAATATCGACTATTGATCAAACAAAATTAAAAGTACAATAAGGTAAAATTTTATAAGCTAAAGCCCTTCTTAATACAACCGTGTAGAAACGCCTTAACAGATCTCAATTAGAAAACATGTTTAAATGAAGTGTAACATTTGGTCAAAATATATTGCAATAAGTGAGAAAGCATTTTTGCCGCACCCTGTATCTGTTTATAACTTATAGTACATGGAGAGCGCGATATTTTGAAAATAATAGGGGAAAACGCGGGCAAAAACAATGGCGGTATTTGACAGATTACGCCGGTCGAGCGAGGTATAGATCCGACTTACTTTCGATTTCATGTAAAAGCACTATTTTACTTTCGGGAAAATGTAGACTGAGCGCTATTCGGTAATCTTACAGTACGGTCATAACATAAACAAATCCACTTTTACAACCATTAGCGTCCATTTTCACTTTGTTATGTCAAAAATCACGATAGGCGGAGTCAATTAAGGTTGGCGCGAAATTTGAATTTGCGAGCCTGATTAGCGCGTAGAAGTCAATTAAGTTCGTTCTATGAAGTGAAAACTGATAGGAAACGCAAATGTCAACTAAAATAAGCGAAAACACCAAAAATCAATACAATAATATACACCACATTTAAAAAAAATTCCATAATAACACCTCTATAAAATGGCGTCTGTTACAGTGGAAGGGGTGAAGCCTAACCAATCAAGGATGAAGTCTATTTCATACATGACATTTTGAGAATTTTAGGAAAATTATGTCCAATATTTTCGGAAACACTAAAAACTTTACCTTATCTTTTCTTCTTTAACCTTAACTTCTTCAACTTTTAATTCCTTGTTGTTGTCTTTCTTCGATATCTTTATTTTGAACGTGGACTTAAGGGGCAAATTTATCGATGGAACCGCCTCTGGTTGTAGTTCACCTACAATATACAGTGGGATGAATAAAAACTGATTTCATACAAGGCGTTATAATCTTACTTATCCTTTTAGCCGGGTCCGAATTCTTGGCAGACTTTGCAAAGTCCCCTTTCTTGAAATGTTTGGAACATACTTTAGATCGTTTATTAACATCGGTTTCAGATAGATTGGCTGCTTCCAACCACCGTCGTCTCAAAACAGCCTCTTTCGGTAGAGGAAAAAAGGTAACTTCGGAGTCCGGGCCACTTTCACAATTTCGCACAATACACTTTGTTCTTTTCATTTTTAATAGTAAAACGGAAAGTTACATTAGAAGGTTATGTTATTAAAACTACAAGCGTCTTTTCTGCCGACACCGTGTTACAAATCCAGGCCTGATGGACTAGTGCACTAATAGCGCCGTTGCCAAGCTTCTCGAGCAATTTCTCCTATAAAAAAACCGGATTCATTATTTTCCGAACAACATATTTAAATATATTTAGCTATCCAAGGAGATATTCACTCATATAGGATTATTTTAATAATGAAGATTTTATTATAGAGACACAATGCATCCTTCAGCAATAGAATTCACAACTCATTTTCAAGGTCTTCAAATGTTCCATATTGATACAATCATTTTGAACATAATTATAATCATTAAAATAAAACGTTAAACATTTCACCGCAATATGTGCTAATAAAAGTTAAATTGTGAACGCATTATTCTACTGTATACTACGATTATTACCTCATAATGGCTGAATATCAAAAGCGTTTTTATAATGCTTTTCACAAGCCTCCGCCATCTTGGCAGAATCAAGGTTCAAGTTAAACTCGAATATACCCAGATTTAAAGAAAGTCCTGAAAATTGGCATCTATGATTGCTGCTGACGGCTTTTGTACAAGATGGTAGATGACAAGTGAAGTTACGCAGAGAGGATATGCGACTCATAGTGCGGATGTCTGTATGACGGGTTGCGTGAGACTGTGATCAAGCTAAAATCGTTTTTCATTATAATCAAGTGTGCTTTAATTAAAAATATTCGTAATTAGTCATGGAGAGCTTTTTCAATAGTTTTATCGAGCAAAATTTTTTGAAGTACCTACTAGAAGAGATTATAATAATGAGAAGAAACCAAATTCAAACGAAACAATTGAATGCTGCGTTGGTGAGTAAAATTAAGGGACTTTAATAATATTAATATCTTCAGTGACATTTTTGCAAAATATACAGCATATTTTTATACAAAATACAAAACATATTATAAAACAACAACAAAAACTGAATATTTGTATTATTATTATTTTGTTGTTTCGCGTAACATTTCAAACATTTGTACTGTTAGTGGATCCTTGATCTTCTGGTATGCTGATCTGGAACTGGAGCAGCACCACAAGGTATGTCACCATTGTCGCAATCAACTGTAAAAAAAATCTGTACCTAGATCTCGATTATTTTGAAAAAAAAAATAGAGTTGAAAAACTTGTGCGGGGACTATCTATCTCAATTTTTTGATGTTAGTCGATACGCCATTTATGAATAAAAAAAATAAAAACCGTTCGATTGTCTAACTTGCAAATTTATTAATTTAATTGGAAAAATTAAACACATTAGGGCAATGAACAACAACAACTGACAACACAAACATAACATTAAAACTTACGAAATGATTACAAAAATTGTTGAAAATGCCCCCCTTCACTTAGTATATGCATGCTTCCGCCCTCCTTCTCATGGAATTGCGCACTCGTTGAAATATCCCTTGAGTGTTTTTATCACAAGCCCAACTATTCTTTCTCTTAATTACTCTACAGTGTTAATGGGACTTGTCTACACTAGTGTCTTAAGATAGCACCACAAAAAGAAATCTAAACTGTTGAGGTCTGCGGACCTTGGTGGCCATTCTTGGGGCCCACGGCGGCCAATCCAACGATTTGGATAAACAGTTTGTAAATAATTACGAACCGCGACACTGAAATGCGCTGGTGCACCATCATGCATGTACCACATATTGCTTCTTATTACTAACGGAACATCATCAAGCAGCAAAGGCAACTGTTGTTGAAGAAAATTGAGGTAAGTCTGTCCGTCAAGTCGTCCCGGCAAGAAGAATGGGCCAATAAAGTGGTTGTGCCAGTGACATATTCCAGAGCAACTAGATATTTATTGCTAAATTGCATTCTTCAATTATAACATTAATTTTCTCGGACAATAGAACGGTTTTTATTTTTTTACTCAAAAATGCCTCATCGAAGGAAAACAATTGAAGAAAGATCATTTATTTTAAATTGAACGGGGAATTTAAAAATAATTTTTATTTAGCCAAAAACCATTGGCGTACCACTTTTTTCTCTGAAATATCGAAGTCAATACCCGTACGCATGCTACTGTTAAAGCTAAAAATTATTTTTGAATTGGAAAATATGCAACTTTCACTACGTACTAAATATTAGTGAAATATCTGAAGCGGTTCTGAAAATATTAATTCATTTCCATTTTTTTCCTAAAACTTGAGCACCCCGAGTTTCTGTAAGGAAACATTTTAGGACCATAGTTTATGAAGCAAACTAACATTAATTTTTCATGCTCATTCACACCCTTAAATATTCGCATATCATTAAGGAACACCCTGTGGGTGTCCGCAAAGTTGGGGTTTTCCTTTACACGACGTGTAGATCTTGAAAACATAAGCAATTTTCCTTAGTACCATATACACCAATGTCTTAAGGGAACCGAGATAAACGGCTCTGCAACATCAAAAATATCTGAATACCGTCCTGTAGCCGCGACTCGAGACATCCCCGAGTGGTACTAGGACACTAGCTCAACCCGACGACTGAACTGGGTCGGGGTCAGTGTCTCAGGTCAGTATGCAACCTTCAACCGACGGTTACGGTCACGCGTGTAGAGGTAAACGAACCCGTATAATCGATTGCGTTTAAAAAAAAAATAATGGCACACTCATACACCAATAATGAACTCGTTGATATGTTGTTAATTTATGGCGAATGTCTTCAAAATGCTACAAAGGCTTCCCGAGTGTATGCAGATCGTTTCCCTAGACAAGGCCCCGCAGATTTGCGTACCTGGTCCAGAGAGTCAGGGATACGGGCCATTTGGAGGAATTTCGAGGTGGGCCCAGTGGGAGACCCAGACAACCACGAATGGTGCAAGTTGAGGAAGAACTACTGAATCGCGTAGACGAGAATCTATAAACAAGCACTAGAGACGTGGCTAGAGAAGTGCAAGTATCAAACACTAAAGTGTAGCAAACGCTGCATGAAGAGGGGCTGTATCCGCTTCACGTCCAACGTGTACAAGCCCTTCAACCTGACGATTTTCCAGCAAGAGTGCGGTTTTGTGAGTGGTTGTTGGATCAACATGACAATAATCCGGACTTTTTGAAGTGCATATTGGTGACAGACGAATCTACGTTCACGCGTAATGGGGTGAATAACTTTCGCGACACTCATGTTTGGTCAGTAGAAAATCCGCACGCTGTCCGTCGGGCACATTTTCAACAAACATTTTCGGTGAATGTTTGGGCTGGCATGGTGAACGGTATGCTCATTGGACCATTTATTCTCCCAAATCGATTGGACGGGATGCAATACCTAGACTTTTTATGCAACATTTTGCCTTCCTTGTTAGAAGATGTGCCATTAAGTGTAAGACAATCAATGTGGATTCTGCACGATGGTGCACCGCCCCATTTTAGACGCGAAGTGCGTGAGTTTTTGAATGAATCATTTCCGGATAGGTGGATCGGACGTAATGGACCCGTAGCGTGGCCTCCGCGATCTCCAGACTTAACACCATGTGATTTTTTTCTTTGGGGAGAAATGAAACGCTTAGTGTACAAAACTGAAGTGCATACGGTTGACGAACTTCGTCTCAGAATTGAACAAGCTGGCGGTTTCATTCGGGGGAGGGACTCCGTTCTCAAAGCCTGCACCGATGCTTGGCTACGTCGTGCACGCACCTGCGTTTTTGAATCAAACGGCGATAACTTCGAACAATACCTATAAAGTACGTTTACCTAAAAACTGAAAACGCGGCAACGCCGTCATATTTGTTACCTCTGTTCGTGGTCTGCACCACCGCCTGCGTCTGATCGGTAGCGCATCAGCTGATTTTATTTTCTGTTGGAGCGGTATGATTTCGGGCAGAGACGTACTTAGCCCTTCTCGTCAACTGAAGAGTGAGTACTTTTTCCTTTATTTTTTTTTACTTGGTCGCCCTCGTTTCACTACACATTACCTTTGTTATTTCAAGGGTAGTTGTTTCTGAAAAGGACAACCCCAACTTTGCGGACACCCAGTATATACCTACCGATTTGAATAGGTTCCTGTTCACAGCAAAAAGTCCCACCAATGTCATATCCGTTGGGTTCATTTCTGTGGCTCTTATAAACATGTTAATCTGAAAAAAGTGAATATGATATAAGGGGAAAACTAATTAAGTGAAGTATTAGTAAAGGGTTGTCCAATAGGGACGCAGGAAAGTAAACGTCAATTTGACATAGACGCCATCTTTGTTTTCTGTCACTGACATGTCATTTTGTTAGTTGAATGTTTACCATTGATCGCTATGGAGTCGTATTCAATTGAAGACCGCATTAAAGTTATTCAAGAGCACTACAAAAATGGTGCAAAAATAAAAAACACGTTTCGCGCGCTTCGTGAACCTTTCGGTCGCAACAACCGCCCAAACGAAACAACAATCGGTCGTCTGGTGCGTAAATTCGAGGCAACAGGTTCTGTGGCAAATCTGCCAGGCTCTGGCCGGCCAAGGAGCGTTCGCACACCGGTAAATATTGCTGTTGTGAAGGAGAGTGTGAGAGACGATCCAAAACAATCAACAACGGGTCGATCCCAAGAATTGGGCATTTGTTGAACCAGTTTGCTCCGCATTCTCCACAAGGATTTGAATGTACACGCCTACAAGATCCAATTGACGCAAGAGCTGCGTCGGGCCGACCATTTTTCGAACGTTCTCAGATTGGCTCCTTGAACACCGCCAAATTGATGCCAACTTTTCATCAAAAATCATGTTCAGCGACGAAGCGCATTTCACTTTGAATGGGACGGTAAACAAGCAAAACTGCCGCATCTGGGCGAACGAAAATCCCCGTGAGTATCAAGAGCAGCCGATGCATCCTCAAAAAGTGACTGTGTGGTGTGCATTGTGGTCAAAAGGCATCATCGGACCTTAAATTTTCGAAAATGCGCCCGGGGACGCCGTTACCGTCAATTCTGAGCGATATCACGTGATGATAGAGGACTATTTTGTTGCCGCAACTTGAAGGAATGGATATGGCCGATGTTTATTTCCAACAAGACGGTGCAACATGCCACACAACCATCGTCAATATCCATCGATTGCAGTCCTTCTTCGGTGATCGCGTGATTTCGCGCAGAGGAAATGTGCCATGGCCACCAAGATCGTGCGATTTGACTCCCTTGGACTTCTTTTTATGGGGATATTTGAAAAGCAAAGTCTACGTCAACAAACCAGCCACCCTCCAAGAACTCAAAAACAACATCATTGCCGAGAGAAATGCGATAGAACCGACCATGTTGCAAAATGTCATTGAAAATTTCGACCACCGCGTGGACGTCTGTAAATCCAGTCGTGGTGAACATTTGAGCGATATTATTTTTCATACATAAATGGTATAAATGAACCTTCAAAATAAAGTACCCAACTTGATTTGAATATCAATCTTTCTTGTTTTAATATGCGTTTACTTTCCTGCGTCTGTTTTGGACAACCCCCATATATTAACAATTTGGTCATAATTTGGCCTGAATTGTGTAGTGTCGTTGGTAC